TTGCATGAAATAGGTAAACGGCACTACAAAGAGTTGAATTGCTTTCCTTATCGATATTTATCATTATAAATAAATACACAAATATAACTGGGGCAGATGGCGGACAATTTATAGGTATTTACGCATAAAAGTAAATATGGAAATGCCCCTGACATAAATAATATACCATACTCCCAAAAGTCAATAACGCCATGACTTTAGTTTATGGTTGGTAATGTTTTAGGGTAATCACAGTTTGCATTTCATATCTATTCCTGGCCCTTCCCTTTTCATCTACGAAATATAAATGGCTATAAATATAAGGTACAGATTATACTTGTATTATTATTATCTTATGATAATCTATATCATCATTACATAATATAAAACAAACTCGCTGTCGCTGTCTCTCCGTCTTTATGTATGCTTAAATCTTTAAAACTACGCAACGGATTTTGTAGCGGTTTGTTTTAATAGATGTGATTCAAGAGGAAGGTTTATATGTATAATACATGTACAGCCGGGGCGAGTAGCTAGTATATGTATAAAAATGAATTGCTGTTCGTTAGTCTCGCTAAAACTCGAGAACGGCTGAATCAATTTGGCTAAATTTTAGTGTGGAATTATTCGTCAAAATCCAGGGATGGTTTAAAATGAAGAAATTGCATGTAAAATAGAAAAACAACAATTATGTTTTCCCATACAAATGGCTGATATCTGTCAAACTGGGTGTGTTAAGAAATTTATTGCGGAACTAAACTTCAAAAAACTTTTGACATATTTAATTTTGACGCGAAACAGCGTTCGCAGGGTTAGCTAGTGTAATGTAAATTGGACTCTATTTTGCGCAATCGGCTTCTCATCTCAGCGGTTGCATATGTAGAATAGAATAGAATAGAATAGAATAGAATAGAAAATCATTTATTCAAATAAACTTACATTGAAGCACTTTTGAATAGTCATTACATTTTTTAATCTACCGCTCGTTCGGAAAGCTGTCTCATCACAAGAAGAACGAGCAAGAAACTTGCGTGTTGCTCTTTTAAATAATTTTATTATTACTTTACATTTTTAAGTTTAAGTGTGTGAATACAAACCATCAATTAGCACTAATTCAATTAAATACTCAAATAGAAAAAATATTGAATATATAACCAACTGGTTAAACAATTAATAAGAGGAAATCAGTCATAGTGATTAGAGCAGACCAGTCCCTACAAGCAGCACCCGTTCACGAGTATGACGGATGAGCCAGCCATCACTGCGCTCGACCATATTTTAGGGAGCCCAATGACCCGGCCCACCACGCCGCCACAAGTCTGGACATTTTAGTGAGCATGACTACTCAAAACACTAGACTACGTCAAAGCTACTTACAATTGCCATCTGATAGTTATAGTATTCACATTTTACATAAGAATGCATGCGGCAATCAATACAAAAACCGCTACGCTTTCATATTTCTAAAAAGAGCCGAGTCGAGACTACTAAAGTAATCAGTCAAGCTTCTCCCAGAAGCGCAGAGGTCTCCTGGTGTCTTCATGGGCTTCACGGAGCGACCTCACCATCCCGAGGATTTGTGCTCGTGAGCAGTTTGCGTGAGCAGCCGTTTCTTCGGTTTCAAACACCCCCGACAAAAGAGACGGCGACAGCTGGTCGACAAGGTAATGTAGAGTCGTGATCCTCAGCAGTAAGGATCAAGATGAGTTCCAATAAGTAACACGGTAGTCACTAGTTACGTTTTTTCTATTAATATTTTTTCCCTACTGACAAGTTCAGTAAGGATTATGTAATATTATATTATCTGTGGTAAGGAAATGAAATGAAATTTTATTGCATAAAATGTGGTACATTGGATGTGGTATTTTCAATATTATTATATTGTTCGCACATTTAGTCATTTCTGACATGCAACAGATAATTGTGAATATATAAGGATATAACAATATAATGATAAATAAAACGAGCATGATGTCATGTCAGTTTGCCCATCATGACAAATACTAGGAAATTATCGTGATGGTTTCCAGGGGGAACTGCGTGGAGGTCAACCTGATTGAAAATTCAAAAATCATTTATTCATGTAGGACATTTTAGCCACTTATGAACGTCAAAATTTTACATTATAATTTTTTTTTCCCTACCGTCCAGTTCGGTATATAGATCCAGTTTAGAAGAACTGGCAAGAAACTCAATTGAATTACTTTTTTTTTAAAGTCAGTTTATTTATATAGGTGTATATGTCTAACATTAAATGGAAATCCCGTGCATGAACAACTATTGCCATGCACGCTCGTCATTCAAGTAATGTCATAAATGAAAATAAAAATTAATAATGATGTGGTACATTGCTAGCAATAAGATCATCAGTCCACATTACCACAGATAACATTTTTTTTTAATGTATTGTTTGGCCTGTTGTCAGGTGTCTGTAGCACCTGTAGCACTGTGACCTATTGTGCTCTTTGATAGATCTATTGTGCTCGCCCTTTTTCAGAGTTCGCTACCTAGACCCTTCAGGGACAAGAATTTAAGGATAGTCTTAGGAGCGATGGTTTTAATCAGGAAAGAGTGTAAACTTTCCAAAGGAATTTCATATATGCATGAGTGGGCTACAACCACATAGAATGTGATATGACAGATAACATTATTGACAAACGCCTTCCTTATGTAGGTATAGGTAGTGACATATATACATATATATACATTATGTAAATAGTGTCATGTATACATCATCCATTTAACTGATTCTTCATTTTATATATTTAAATTCATCACGAATGCTTAATGTGACCAGACGTCCCGTAATGAACGGGACAGTCCCTTTTTATAATTACGAGTCCCGGTGTCCCCGAAACGGACTCTGGGACGCAAAATTGTCCCGTTTTCGGTAACGGTGCGAAATTTTGGGTAGACGAGCCGGTTGTTAGTTGTTGGTAATTAAGGTGAGTATAAAAAAAATGTGCCAAGAGTGTCATTGTTACATAAATACTTCTTAAAAAGTCAAATTTGTTCCTCCGATAACAAAACATTTTATTTTTATCAGATAAATATAAACTATCTATGAATAAACAAAATGTTTAATTATATTTATCGGATATATTTCTTAATTGATAACTTTTTTTGAATAGATAATTTTAAAAAAGAGTTTTTTTCATTGGCTGTCTGTTAATTGTGTCCCGTTTTGAGTCGAAGAATAAATGGTCACATTACGAATGCTATATCTTTTTTTCAAGTGGCTCCACTGAAAATCAGCGCTGTAGTGACACGCTGTGGCTCAGCTGAGTGGAAGTCTTTTCAGTTTTTAAATTTTCCTTTTTACTCTGTACTCTTTTTTATGCTGAATAAATGATTATTATTATTATTAAACATTATATTAACTTACAGGAAAATAAACAAGATAAAAACACACAAATTACGTGTGCGCGCGTGTGCCTGCATGTGTATGTCTGTCGAATCATCTACTGAATAGGTCCGTGCTCAGCATAATGCTGCAGCGGCTGGAGCGCTGCAACGCTGTTTTTCAGCACAAGACCTGGGGTGGTGCTGGACATCATGCTCGTTTTATCATCATTCACTGGTGCCCCACCAGCCAGGGGCGTAGCTACCTAGGGGCTAGGTAGGGCAGTGCTCCGGGGCCTTCAAGCTCATCCCTCGAACCCTTACCAGAAAATCTCGATCAAACTTGAAAATTTCTCCCATTTTCAAAATAAATATGACAGATTGCAACCAGACTTCTATCATGGCAACTCAGTAGAGAGAAATTCGAAAGTTATACCTTCGGAATTCCCCTAAATTCGTTCTGTGGGTTGGCAGTGTTGTCTATTTGACGGATAGCGATATGTGTGTTTTATAAAACTGTAATGTAGGGCCACTGCTGAGCAGTGGGGCACCATTTAGAAAGAAAGAAAGAAAGAAAGAAAGAAAGAAAAATATTTTATTCAGTGCAACATAAAAAATAAAATATAAACTTATTGATTTGTGTCCGGGACCCGTGGTTACCTATCTACGCCACTGCCGCCAGCGTTAACCGTTAGAACAAAAGGGTGCACCATTCCACTATCATCCCTTAAAAAAATGTAACTATGTGCTAATAATGTAATGTAATATGTATTTATTAATTTTAATTTATTTAAGTAAGTTTATATATATATATATTATACTTTGTTACCTTATTTCCACTCACGTGCCGCCTACTTTATTTTTATTTATACTCTTTTTCATAAGGTTGTCTGGAAGAGATTGTGTTAGCGATAAGACCGCCTTCTGTACCATCTTCTTTCTTTAATTTATTGTTATATATTATTTTCTTTTTATGTATCTACTTTTAATATTGGTGCAATAAAAAATTATAAATAAAATAAATAATATGTCGTTGAGTATTGTAATCTAGATATTATTTTTACAAATTTAATGTGTTTAGAAGGGTAACCCCCAAGTATAGGCTAGATCTTTCGAAAATGTAATCATACTAAATTTATATTTTTATCTACCTATTTAGATAACGACATACCTACTTATATATAATATATAATCTATACATCTATCTATACATATAAATAAAATTGGAGTGTCTGTTTGTAATATTGAAATAACAGTTTTTTACTACATGCATATGAATATAAATACGGTACATACACCAAAATAACATTTTTTACAAATTTTGTCTGTCTGTCTGTTTGTTCCGGCTAATCTCTGAAATGGCTGGACCGATTTTGACGGGACTTTTATTGGCAGGTAGCTGATGTAATAAAGAGTAACTTAGGCTACTTTTATTTTAGAAAAATAAAAGAATTACACAAGCTTTAGCTAGCTTAACTTGGGTCTAGATGGCGCTGTGGGAATTGTCCTCAGATTATTATTATTATTATTTTAGGTCATATACTTAGGTATAAATGAAAATACTGTATGTTCTTTTACATTTTATTACCTTAATAAACCTAGTTCTTAATACAATAAATAGGACGTTCTCAATAAAACGAATAGCACCGAGTTTATATCTACATAGCTACGCCCGCAACCTCGTCCACGTAAAATTACAATACTTCCATATAACCTTTCAACCCTTGTTTTGCATTAAAAAGTAGCCTATGTCCTTCGTTAGGGTCTAGACTATGTGTGTACCAAATTTCATTTAAATCGGTTCAGTGGTTTCGGCGTGAAAGCGAGACAGACAGACAGAATTACTTTCGCATTTATAATATTAGTAAGAATTGCTAAGTGCAATACATAACTGACTTGCAAGTAGATATATATGGTTATTTTATATTTATAACTGTTAAAGTAAAAATTATATATATTCCTTCAGAACTTGTATACCTAATAACCGCTTTAAAACCACTTCAAAGTTGTTTTGAACAACACCACAGTTAACTGCCTCACGTAGTGAATAATAGTCACAATTTACACACCTTTTTAATTAATTACAGCTTGATAGAGTGATGTGGACCGACTTTGAGTTGTTATTGCATGCTAATTATAATCCATATTGCTTCTTTTTATGTTCAATTTGTCTACCTCTTTCCTTGTAAATTGTTCACCCTTTTTGGCCACGATGTCAACGCATTGTCGATTACTTCTTGAGGAAGTTGTTTCCAATCTCTTTTTATCGCTCTTTTCAGGCTTGCCATGTCACTCACTTTCATCTTACCTGCTCTTGTTTTTAACCATGACCAGATTGTGTAGTCCATCGGAGCCGCAGCGGGAGAGTTCGACATCCATTCCTCAAGCTTGATATAGTTGAGTTTACCATGCATCCATGTCTTAGTCATATTCTAAATATGCGATGGTGCAGAATCCTGATGGAAAACGAAATCACCATTTGGATATAGTCTAGGTGCATCATATCTCAGAAATTTCTTTAGTATATTTTTGATGTAATATTCAGAGTTGATTTTAGCTCCAGATTCTACAAGATATATGTTTGTCTTGCCAGCATGTGAGATCCATACCATAAACCCCTTTGCGTGTTGTTTTCTGCGCATTTTCATTTCGATTTCAGGATTCTTTTTGTCTCTCGAAACATACTGAATTCTTGCTCCACGATCACAGTCACTCATATATATCCAAGCTTCGTCAGTTGTGATGACATTTTGCCATTGATTCTTGTTTAATGTCTTATATAGCTTCAGTAATCTTGTAAAAAACATTCAACCATGCCAACAACAATTCGTGAGAGATTCGTGTTGGCGGCATCGTTGTTTTGACTATGTTTTTGCTTTTTTCTACTAGAGGGAGAAATATCCTTTCCAATATTACCTGATTTGTGACTCTGAGTTCAAAAATCGCAAATTTACAACATGTTAAAGTCGGTCCACATCACTCTCTATCAACCTGTATTAAGACTTTAATACTAGCTTAGAACAGCGTGTGGACAACTCAATTACTAAGCTGCCATTCGGCTATCATCGGCTACGGTCGGCTACTACCGGCTACGGTCGGCTACGGTCGGCTACCATCGGCTATCGTCGGCTACGTTCGGGTGTAGTCCTTGTATATGAGTATTGCGTCGTGATCCGTACCCACAGCGCGGTGAGCACGCAGCACGCGCTCGAGCGGCGCCGCACACACGCGCCCCCGCCCCCCTCGAACCCCTCCCCCTTCCCCGCGCCCCCCTCCCCCATCCCCTCGTCCGCCCCTTGCGGGGTCGCAGTAGTAGGCGCGAGTACCTCGTAGCCCGCACAGGACCACGTAGTGGCCTCGGTACCTGCCACCTCCCAAGCACCACCTACGTTCGAATACCTTGTTTATTAGTTACTCACAATATCTATGTCAGAACTATTGTATAGTGTCATTTTGTGTGTGTAAAGTTTGCATTAAGTTATGCATGCTGTGTCTACATCTAGAAGGAGTAGTTCTAAATTTAAGCATACATAGGGACGGACAGATAGCGACAGCGTCTTCGTTTTATACTATGTAATAAAATGATATACAGTTAACTTAAGCAAGGATAAAACACTGTTTTATCTACTAGACGTCCCGGCAAACGTTGTTTTGCCTTAAAATAAAAAAAATATGGGGTGGACTAGGGGTAGTCCATTTAGGGGGATGAAAAATAGATATTGGCCGATTCTCAGACCTACTCAATACGCTCACAAAATTTCATGAGAATCGATCAAGCTGTTTCGGAGGAGTATGGGAACGAAAATTGTGACACGAGAATTTTATATATAAGATATATGAAATTTCAGATCCACATTACTCTAAGAAATAGCAAACTTAAAAAAGGTTCACTTGGCTGAAATTCTGCCTCATGTGGTATAACCACCATAACGCACTTACATCATAATATAATATAATGACAACCAGAACTTTACCTAAAGTCGAGTCTGAATTTGTTATAGTAGCATAGATCACAGGAGAGCAGGCTGGCGTCTATGAGCAGTATGAGGGGTCCCCGCCGCAGCTGGGCGGCCAGCTCGTGCGGCGCCAGCCCCCCGCGCCGCTCCCTCACGTCCAGGCCTGCGCCCCCTGCCCCGGCAAACCTACTCTGCACGCGGCGACGATCCTGAGGGTATACCACACAATCTAACCTGGTTGTTCCCCTACATCCGATGTAGATACATCGTTACATGCTGTTACACCGACCACGGCACCCCATCATCCTGCCTTCACTACGCCATCAAGGAACAGGACATTGTCGATTACATATGGACCAGGAGTAACCTGACATCGAGTCACGCAGCTGGAGTCGAGCCACAACGCGAGTTTCAAGGCGTTTATGGCTCGAGTCACTAACATGCTGCCCACCTTCATGAAGGAGAACTACTGGCCGAAGATGGTGGTACATCAGCGCTATCGTGGCAGATTGCCGTCGTCACTGCCGTGACCACAAAGACATTTTCAATATATAATATTTATTCATATGTATGTTAGTTTATAAGGTATTTATACTATGGGACTAGTAGCCTGATATAAATAAACACATAAAAAAAAAATTTTTTTTGTTCTGTTTATTTTTTTGGGATCTTTGTACACAAAATGTGACAATGACAATCCCATTGTACCAGTACTAAATAACAAAAAAAAGCTTTTTTTTTATTTTATTAATACTAAAAACTTTTTTTTTTATTAATAAAATAACAAAAAAAAGCTTTTTTTTTATTTTATTAATAATGGGATTGGCAAGACCTTGGATGTAGCGCGCTTACCCAGAAGAAATCTATTCACCATAGACTTGAAGAATCCGGGGTTGTATTTCTCCGGGAACACAAAAGCTGGAAGTGTGTTCCACTCTTTGGCAGTGCGTATTAGAAAGGACGATGCGAACCGCTCAGTGCGAATGTGCGGAATTTCCACGACGTACGGATGAAGTCCAAGTGTTCGTCGTGTAGTTCGGTGGTAAAAAGGAGAAGGCAAGATCAAATTATGCAGGTCCTGTGCACACTTGCCAAAGTGTATCCTATAAAACACCGACAGACTGGCCACTTTGCGTCGATGTTCTAGCATCTGAAGACTCGACCCATTGGCTTTGCGGCGTGATATTGCATCTCTGTGCATTTTCTACCGCATATATCACGGGGAGTGTTCTGAGGAATTATTCGGATTAATACCAGCTGCTGAGTTTCACCACTGTACCACCCGCCAGAAACTGAAATACCATCCTGATCATCTGGATGAATGGCGGTCTTCCACCGTGCGGTTTTCTAGAAACTTTTTGCCTCGCACAACCACATTATGGAATCACGTTCCAGCAATGGTATTTCCGAACCGATACGATATTGAAACCTTCAAGAAAAGAGCTTATTCCTTTTTAAAAGGCCGACAACGTACTTGCAATTCCCCTGGTGTTGCGGGTGCTCATGGGCGGCGGTAATCACTTACCATCAGGTGAGCTGCATGCTCGTTTGTCCCCTGTGTTATAAAAAAAAAAACCTTCTAACAATGTGATGCCAGCCAGAATAACTTGGCTGCATCGGAAGCTGGACTTGCCAATATTTCATGGAATATACATACCTATGTTGCACAAATTGCAAGCGAAAATTGCGAAAGATAATTTTTTTTCGGACTATTCTAATGCTGGTCATAGCTGGTCTTTGCAGAACGATAGAGGGCGAGTGTATATGGCAGTCCAGACTAAAGAAAGGACTTATGGAGCGGCTGAAGGCCAACTCCCGCCTGTCGGATACAACTTTAGTCTGAGGGAACCTATTATCATCAGATAGGTCTTCAGCTTGTTTGCCGTTAGTCCACATAATTATCAATCCTATTTTAAATGTTAAGTAAAAACGGGTAGGAATTGACCTTAAACTAAAAAAATAAAAATGGTCTACTGAGTGTCTATGATAATTGATAATGTCCAGTTTAGGTATACCTATAGGTCACAATACTGACTTACCATTTTGATAATTTTGTCGTAATATTCATATGTTTGATATGCCTCGTTGACACCAATCGTACTCGTGTACATAACGTGAGGTATTTCAAATCTGCAATTTAATATACATTTAGGATTTTAAACTTGGCGGTAGTCATACCGCATGGAAACGAAAGATCGTATGGGTGGAAACAAAAGGGTAAATAAATGAAAACGAAAGAGTGAATGGATGGAAACGAAAAAGTGAATCGATGGAAATGAAAGAGTGAATATATGGAAACGAAAGAGTAACAGAATGGAAACGAAAGAATGAATGTATGGAAACGAAAGGGTAACTGAATGAAAACGAAAGAGTGAATGGATGGAAACGAAGGAGTGAATGTATGAATAAAGGAATAATTAAGAAAAGGCGATGGGCATCACTCTTTTCCTCATAGACTGCCATATAGTTAGGTTGTTTTATCTTTGTAGTTAACGTTTTTCTTTTATTTAAATAAAAGGAGTTCTTGTAAAAATCCTGTTATTTGCTAATCCTCACTACCACATACATTTTACATTATGCACCGTGTTTATAACCAGTCAGCTAGGGAGAAAGGGGATTGTTAGTAATGTGGACTCATGAACTCGGTGGTCTAGCGGTCTAGCACACCGCTTTACGACCGATGGTCGCGGGTTCGATTCCTCGCACGACACAAACATTTGTATTCATGAGTATGATTGTTTGTATCGGTCTGGGTGTTTTCTATGTATAATATGTATTTATTTACAAAAAAAAATGTATGTATCAGTTATCTAGTACCGATAACACAAGCTTTACCTAGCTTAACTTGGATCTAGATGGCGCCGTGTGAATTGTCCTTAGATTATTATTATTATTATTATTATTTCCACCGTTTCACAATATAAATATCGGTTGTTTTATAGTGATCACAAGGACGGGCTTATATCACCAAGTCACATGTTCACACAATTGAATTTTTAGACATTTTTTACTGGGCTGTTTAAAAATTTCCTAACTATTAAACACGTATCCAATATAGTGGATTTTATTCAGTTATTATTATTATTATTATTATTATGATCCCATTACTAGCAATGTCCTATGTCAGGTTGACCTCCAAAACTTGACAGAACTTTAATTTGATTGTATATGGTGTATAAAACATTGTTAGTTAAATTTAACTAAACATCTCACCTTTTTAGTAAGTAGCACAAATCTATAGTCCATGTGCACTGACCGAAACCTTCCTCGTGACAGATGTCATTGAAATTCTGTAGCATATATTCCTGTTGCTGTGGATCGAGCAACATGAGGACGCATGTGACTCCACAGTCCCAATTGTACCGTTGTTTGTAATGTGTAACATTGTGGAATATGTCAGTGTCTCCTTTTATTTCTGTTTAAAAATATACTCAATGAAACGTTAACATTACATCAGAGATACAAAGTTTAAAAAGATTATTGCACAGGATTCATTGTATTTGGTTCATTGGATGGCATGACAATTAATATTTTAATACTTGTTGTATGGTTTTGTTATTTTTTATTGCTCTTGCCTTCTGCTACACATACCCAGTTTGTTACGAAATATATTTTTATTTATTTTATTTAACTTTAATGCACACAATACAATATACAGTACAGTACATTAGGCGGACTTATCACCGTGCGGCATTTTCTACCAGGCAACCATAGGTGGTGCTGAGAATAATTGTTGGCGGTGCAAAATACAAATAGAATACAAAAAAAAACAATATACTGTTGTACATTCATATATGCACCTTAATTACCATCATTGGCTGCACCGACCCCAGTACCCAACACACAGGCCCACACAATAAATTTCTTGGATCATAAATGTGCCTAGACATAATTTCCAAACTAATAAAAACTGTATCAATTCCTTCCAGAATCATCTATGTCCATTACTATTACTTTTGCAGATAATGGTACTAAATATAGTTAAAGTATAAGCAACTATCTCTTTTAAAACACTTATATCATTGACATGATATAGGTCAGCTAACCCGCGCAATTTTGTCTGCATCACATTTACTTGACATTTATGTTTATATTTCGGCCACTAGATATAATATGTTTTTAATCTTTAGAAATAGAAATAAATAGAAATAATCTTTATTCAAATAAACTCATTACAAGCACTTTTGAATAGTCATATTTTGATTCTACCACTCATTCGGAATGCAGATTCATCACAAGAAGAATGAGCAAGAAACTTGTGTGTTGCTCTTTTTAACTTTAGCCAATGTTATTCTAATGTACAAGCTACATTACTGTAAAGTTTCATCAAAATCCGTTCAATAGTTTTTGCGTGAAAGACTAACAAACTCACATTCCATTACTTAATAATTCTTAATTACTTATGGTATAGCTATAAAGAATGTTTATTTCGCTAAAATATATTTTTTTCCTATACTATATAAGACAGGACGATTATGCCTACACTTACCCTCTACTTCAGTCATATTAACTCATATTTAAGGGAAAAAATATATAAAATTTGCAATTTTTAACTTAGTATCTATTACAACTTAGGAAAAATACATTTCTGTTTCGTGTTACTTATTTTCAAGTATTATTTAAAGTATCTAAAAATACTAAATATTTTTGATCTAATGTTTTGACTTTTGGTTGTTATTGACATAATTGATAACAAACAGGTAGGATCAGTCAAGTTGATAACACTGACAATTCGTTTCGTTTCAGAATATTTTGTTTATTTGTTTTTATAGTATCGTAAAAATTTTACAAAAAGCTACGACAAATAATAAAATTTATGTACCTTATAACTATGTAATATTTAATTTTGCGTGTAAGAAATATTATTTCATACAAGTTCAATTATTCATTCCAGTTCTTCAATTATATGAATAATTTCTGCATGAAATGGATACAAAATAGGGAATGACACTTGGATAAAGAATCACTATGGATATGACAGCGAATAATAATACCGTGATAGACCGAGATCACAGCATACGAAAATATACAGGAATAAAAAGGACAACATATTTTTTTGCTGTCCTTGTCTGAGTTTCGTTGGGCACAACCGAAGTTGTGACCAACAAAAGTTTGTGCCTTGCGATTTTTCTTGATTATTGAGTTATTTTGAGCCAAAAACATTATAGAAAGTGTGTCGATATATGTGATTTATATAATATTTATCGAGAAACATGGTGATATGTTATATCTTGGGCTGTAAAAGCCGTAGTGAGCGAAAATGTGAAAACATAACCTTTCATACGTAAGTACGACTTTTTATGGAATAATATGTTCTGATTTACAAAAATATCAATAAGGTTATCTTAATGGCTTATTAATACGTGAGGAATCGTGTCTGAATTAGTGAAATAAAGTGTTTAAAATATATTTTGTATTTACTGCGATGGTACTATTATACGACCAAATTCAGATGCTAAACATTTTAGTGGCTGCCTAAGTCTTTCATTACTTTTAATTTTTATAGGGTTATACGATTTTTAGGGTTACCAGTTAATAATGGGGAAATTACCCAAATGTTACGTATTTATTTTATTTATCATAAAATACGCTAAGGATAAATGTCTTTTTTTATTTTTCTTCTGATGATCTGAGTATGTGCATTTAATAGAGTTAATTATTTTAGATTTCCAAAAGATTCTACGATCCGGCAAATATGGATACGTGCAACAAGACGAGATAACTGGATTCCAAGTAAATATGCAAGAATATGCTCCAAACACTTTGAACGAAATTGTTTTAGGAAAACTTCTCGCAACGTTTATTTGAAAGCGTACTCGGTTCCGACGCTACATATTACTGCTAAGAAGGTAAAATATTATGATACTTGCTAATATTTAAAAACGTGTTATTGTGTACATATCATCAGTGAAAAATGGGGACAAAATATAGTAGTAGCCTTGCTAAAAATTGAGAATCTTAGCCATGATTTTGTACTATAACAGTTCATGGTTATGTTGAAAAAAGTGTTCTGAAATTGTCTACATAGTTCCTTAATTTTTACCACTTTAAAAACAAGTACAAGTCCTTTTGCTTTGGGATGGCCCAAAGCAAAAAGGACTTGTACTTGTTTTTTAAAGTCCTATTAGAAGTTAAGACAGCCTGAAATGTCCAGAATCTAAATATGGTTCTGGTGTTTTAAAGTGTAATATATTTTTGTTATTTATAGTGAATGTTAATTATAATTAATAAATATTATCATTTTATTTCAGAGTCATGATGTTATAGAAATTCCAACCACATCGTCTGCTGCGATGGAAATTGACAGAAATCCTGTAAGTAGCTGGATTTATAAGTATTTGTATATTATACGTGTATTTTCTGTTATTTTAATTATAATTAACAATAATTTCAATATTAATCATTTCAGGTCGATACCGTGACACCGAGAAAAAAGAAACTTATAAGGAAATTAGAGTGCCAAACAGTGTTAGCCGAATCGCGAAAAAAGAAGCTGGCTATACTGAGATCAAAAAATAGTCGCCTCTTGAAACAAAACGCCGAGCTATCCGCTATTATTGAAAACTTGCTAGTGAAACGGTTGATTAATCAAGATACTGCGGACTTATTAACTACTGTCCATCCAGATGGAAACATTTTAAAAGTGAAGAAAAGTAAATTTTCACCCGAAGCCCGAAAATTTGCATTAACATTGCATTTTATAAGTCCGCGTGCATACAATTTTGTGAGGAATTATTTTGATACTTGTCTTCCGCATACACGCACACTTGCACGTTGGTATCAATCAGTAGAAGGCGAATCTGGATTTTCTTCAGAATCATTTACTGCACTTAGACTTTTAGTTAAAATTTCATCAAAGAAATTTATATGTGCATTGTGTTTTGACGAGATGGCCATTCGAAAGTCAGTTGAATGGGACGGCAAAAATTTTGTTGGGTTTGTCAACTGCGGTAACCAACTTAATAACGATTCTCTACCTGTCGCAAAAGAAGCTTTAGTTTTTATGTTGACCTGCCTAAACGGCAGTTGGAAACTTCCCGTCGGCTACTTTTTGATAGATGGGGTAACTGCCGAACAAAAAGCATCTTTACTTAAAACATGTATCAATTTAATAACTGAATGTGGTGTGGATGTTGCATCAGTTACTTTTGACGGATGTCCTGCAAATTATTCTATGGCTAAGTTATTGGGATGTCAATTAACAGGAGATGTGATTAATCCCATATTTATACACAAAAATAAAAAGATGGTAATATTCCCGGATCCATCTCATATGTTAAAATTAGTGCGAAATACACTAGGTGACAAAGAATGTCTTACAAATGCGGAAGGTGAAACTGTTTCTTGGCGTTACTTAAAACTATTGCATGAACTTCAAGAAGACGAGGGTTTTCATTTAGGAAATAAATTAAGAGGTGCCTATATTCTTTATAGGAAACAGATAATGAAAGTCAAATTAGCAGCGCAACTCTTCAGTGAATCAGTGGCCGATGCACTACAATTTAGCCACGAAAGTATCGGACTTCAACAATTTGATAATTGTGAGGCAACTGTAGATTTTATTAGGAAATTCAACACGCTATTCGACATTTTGAACACGCGTAATTTGAACAGTTATGGTTTTAAAAAACCTCTCAAAATTAGTAATTATGAAACTATTAAACAATTCCTAGAAGAAATGTTTGACTATATAAAATTACTAAAAATTAACAACAGAAATATCTTAGATACGGAGAGGAAAACAGGATTTTTAGGTTTTTTACTATGTATTAAAAGTGTTTTATTTCTTTATGAGGAATTTGTAGTCTCAAATAAATTGGAATTCTTAACAACTTATAAACTAAGTCAAGACCACTTAGAAATTTTTTTTAGTGCTATTAGGGCAAAAGGTGGTTTTAATAATAATCCAACCGCTAGGCAATTTAAAGCTGCTTATAAACGCATGCTAGTTCATGGCGAGCTAAAACACCTGACTTCAGGTAATTGTTTGCCTTTGAGCGATATAAATATTTTAACGTACAGTAAGCCGGAGATCGCAATTAATAATACGACAGATCGTAATCGATTAGTAGAAAATGATACAGATCTTCTACCGTCATTAGAATCTGAGGTAGTTTTATTACAAGACCATGATTATCTGGCAAACCCAACAAGACTTACCGAATTCGCAGGACATGTAATTGTATACATTGCAGGTTTCGTCGTCAAAGCACTACAAAATCAAATTAAGTGCGAACAGTGCCTAAATGCATTGATTAGTAATGAAAAATTAGTTCATTCTTTACAGTATAAAAAAGACAAAGGTGGGTTGCATTATCCTTCTGAAGCTGTTGTTAAATTATGTAAAATAGCTGAAGAAATTTATAGAAAAAATAAAGTACATAAACTGAAAGACCCCTTACATTACCTCATACAGGAATGTTTAAAAAAAAGCCTTGGCCTAAATTTATTCTCCGAAGATCATGAATTTGCAGATCGGTCAATTTTAGACAGCCATTATCCGCTTTTGATTAAAGCTATATGTAAAAAATATCTAAATGTACGTATTCATTATGCGACTAAATCGGTATGTAATAAAGGCGAAAACATTCGCAATTTTTACAACAAATTAATATTGTTTAAAGGTCAATAGGAATTCACAAGTGTTTTTTTTTGTCAAACTGTTAAAACAATAAAGATATTATGTTTTATAGTCTGTCTTTATTTGACGAATGAAGCCCTTGACTTTTGGAAAACCTATACCTATATATAGATGACGTACTATGAAAATACTTCTCATATCTCCAGGGTGGATGATATATATACATATAGACAAGTACAGTAAAATAATATATGTATATATAAATGCAAATATATAAACATACTGATATACCCGTATAAAATACATATATAATTACATAAATAAACAAAAATTAAAGCATCAATAAGCTTTAATTTTTGTTTATTTATGTAATTAAAAAATGTAAAAAAGTACATACAAAAAAATATAATAAATTATAATAATATTATATATTTGTGGGTAAATTAATTAAGTTCATATCATCCGGCAACACCATGCGTAAGATGTACTCTATATCCATCCTTATCGGGTGTACGCGCACGTCGTGTCCATTTGATACTTGGTCCAAATGGAATGACAGCTGTACGTTTTGTTGTCGCTTTTTGTAATTTTCATGAAAATCGTCGAATACCTAATCTGTGGAAACAGTGTTATAAACGAAGTATATACATTATGTTTCTTAATATATGTCATATATACGGCTATATATAAATCTGTGTATAATAAACTTGGAAATACTGTTATTAAAAATAAATAATGAACAATTTTTTCTGTGGAACATTATTTATATGTTATAGTTAGCAACAACTAAACGGAACCTAAAAAACTTGATATAGGTTATATTATTAAAAAAAAATATTACATACATAAAAATTAATAAATATATTTATCATTCTGAAGTGAAAATAATATAGTCTTAGAATTAATATGCAATACATGTTTAGACTGTGAATATTATTATAAAACTTACCTATTCTTAAGTTCTTTCACGAATTAACTTATTTATTATATATAAATACTGACTATATTTGCCAAAAACTCACTGAGTAAAAATTGTTATTTTTACTTGAAGTATAAAATTAAATATGCTGAACTTTGAAACAGTGTTTCACCACTAATTTTCAGTATAGACCCGAACGTTTAACCTTTATTATACAATGTTCAGAAGTGTATTAATAAAATCAAGAAATGCTAAAAAGCTTTTCTCGTGTGAACTACGTGCTGTCAACAGTAGAAGTAATCACACAGAGACTGCAACTGGTGACAAAGAAAATAAACAAACCCACTTTGGTTTCGAAACTGTTGATGAAGGAGAGAAATGGAAAAAAGGTTAGTTTCTACACAATAATATTCTTATAGTAACTATATATTTGTAGTTTAATATCATCATAATCGCAGCCCGGAAGATATTCACTGCTGGTCATAGGTCTCCCCCAAAGATGTTCATGACAATCGGTCCTGCGCTGCTCGCATGCAATACCTTGTGAATGTCATTTTGAGCTAACTGACCTGACCTCATGCTCATCTTATCATCCTCCACTGATGCCCCGCTAGTGTAAACTGTTAGCGCAGGAAAAACACCATTCCATTATCATCTATTAAATAAAAAAACTATTTTCATTAATGTAACTGTTTGTATGAGTCTGGGTGTTCTATGTATATTATGTATGTATTGATAAAAAAAATAGACAAATATTTCTGTTGTTTAGTACACATAGTATAAATATATTATAATTTTACAGTGCATGAAGTATTTGAAAATGTAGCTGACAAATATGATCTCATGAATGATGTGATGTCTTTTGGTATCCATCGACTTTGGAAGGACATCTTCATCCAACGGTTGGCACCTACGCCTGGCACGAGACTGCTGGACATGGCTGGAGGCACTGGTAAGTATTAGATTTGCTGTTGTTAAGCTGGCTGTATCTTTTTATTCATTACTCATTTGTTATATGCACAACAATTCTGTACACAACAAAAATCTGCAGATTTTGTCAAACTGAAGAGGAAATGCCACTACATATCCTATGTGGTTATAGCCCAGTCATGCATAAACATGATATCTCCTTTGGAATAATTGTCAATAAAAAAAATACTCTTTTGTTGCCATTCCATAGTACTAAGGGACCATTCAAGTAGTATGTAAGTGATATAGGGGGCCGGGGGGTCTTTGCTTTGCTTATTTTGCATGACAGGAGGGTCTAGATGATGATTACGTTGTTAGTAGTTATTTACTTTTTTATACGAATGGCAATCCTCACATTGTCTTTGCTAAAAAAACAATATATTCATTGAAAAATGTTTACATAAGCATGGGGGTTTTTTTTTAGTGGATGATAATGGAATGGTACACCCGCCTGCGCTATACGCTAGCAGGGCACCAGTGGAGGATGATATGATGAACATGAGGTAAGATCAGTTAGGTATCGTGATAAATTCACCGGGAATTTATCACGATGGTTTCCAGGGGGAACCGCGTGGAGGTCAACCTGACATGGTACATGGCTAGCAATGAGAACATCAGTCCACATTACTAACAATCCCCTTACCCCCAAGCATGGGGGGAAGGGATAAGAGCTTTGCTTACTTTTGTAGGGACTGGTCTGCTCTAATCACTATGACTGATTTCCTCTTATTAATTGTTTAACCAGTTGGTTATATATTCAATATTTTTTCTATTTGAGTATTTAATTGAATTAATGCTAATTGGCAGTTTGTATTCAGATACTTAAACTTAAAAATGTAAAGTAACAATAAAATTATTTAAAAGAGCAACATGCAAGTTTCTTGCTCGTTCTTCTTGTAATGAGACAGCTTTCCGAACGAGCGGTAGATTAAAAAATGTAATGACTATTCAAAAGTGCTTCAATGTAAGTTTATTTGAATAAATGTTTTTCTATTCTTCTATTCTATTCTATTCTTTGTTGACAAGGGGGATTGGAGGGTAAATAATAATTTATTTTGTAATACTGATATGGGCTAACTGACCTGACCTCATGCTCGTCTTATGATCCTCCACTGGCACCCCGCCAGCGTGAACCGTTAGCTCAGACGAGCACCATTATTTCACATATTAAAAAGTACATAATAGAATATGAGCTGACCCGAGCATCCTCGTCTACATTTAATTTCCTCACCTTTTGAAATATTTTTCATTGCAGCTCCGCTCCTATTGACCGTAGCGTAATGTTATATAGCTTAAAGCCTTCCTCGACAAATGGACTATCCAACAGAAAAAGAATTTTTCAATTCGAATCAGTAGTTCCTGAGATTAGCGCGTTCAAACAAACTCTTCAGCTTTATAATATTAGTATAGAAGTATAGATAAGTAGAGTCAATTGGTGATATATTTATTTGCAGGTGACATAACCTTCAGGTACATAAACTACCTGAAAAACCTCGGCGAGGCAGGCGGCCGTCGCAGCGCCGTCACTGTCTGCGACATCAACCAGCACATGCTGGACGTCGGCCAACTTAGAGCACAGAAGTAATACATTAGAATATGTGAAACTTTTACTAACGACACCTTAATTGCAAGGGTTTACCTGAAATGTTTCTTGTTAACGAATTATTAAATAAAATTAGCCAAATTAGGCAAAACTTAATGGAAAACAATATTTCACAAACGGCGGTTTAGTACATCGCATTACTGCCGATGATCGGTTCGATTCCTCGCGTACGGCACAAACGTGAATTACATTTTAAATTAAACACCTAAATACCTTAATTTTTTTTAAGGAATTTTAATGGATTTTTAAGATTTTCTTATCGTTTATATAAATAGTATATTATCTTATATATAAAATTCTCGTGTCACAGTTTTCGTTCCCATACTCCTCCGAAACGGCTTGACCGATTCTCATGAAATTTTGTGAGCGTATTGAGGTCTGAGAATCGGCCAACATCTATTTTTCACCCCCCTAAATGTTATGACAGCTAGTATACTATATATAAAAAGCACGTTACGTAAATATTCACTTATATATATATAATATCTTCAGGCAAGGGTATACCAAAGACAATGCAGTGGATATAGAATGGGTGTGCGAAAACGCTGAGCAACTGTCTCTCCCAGATGACTCATACACTGCATACACCATCGCATTTGGCATCAGAAACTGTACACACGTCGATAAGGTAAGAATTCAGGTATCAAAATAATTACGTACAAAACCAGCTCTTCCCGCGGTTTCTACCCTGAAAACAGGCTGTGTTATTCTGATGTATAAGCTATATTGTAGTTTCATTCATTTCCATTCAGTGATCGATGCCCCGCTCAATTCAAACGGGGATCGAAATTTATTTATGGGAAAATATGTTTTTGTGATTAAAAAACTCTAAACTTTCACCCTTATACCATTTATTCATTCATAAACTTAAGAGCAACGCTCTTGTCGATGGAGCACTTGTCACTTTCTACGATCTTCCATCACGACACGACTCCAATTCTGTCTTTAATTTGTTTAACTTTACCTTTATACCTATTTAAACACGTTGACTTTCAGAAAAGAGAAGTTTTTTTTTTAAATACAACCAATCATACAAAGATGGCATATTACGTTTTGTTACATCGTTTACTTATGCGCTTACATTGCGTTTTGTTACATTAGAAACTTAATTAGATTTAAGTTTAAGTAAGTCAGTACCATCCACCCCTATTTTTAATAGCAATATTAATTATACATGGCAAATCAACATTTGCCGTGGCAGCTAGCTCTTCTTACTAATATTATAAACACGAAATTTTTATGAGTAAGGATGGATGAATAATTTTGATGTAACTTTACAGTAATATAACTTATACATCAGAATAAAACATAGGCTGTAATTTAAATAGATAGAATATAAATTGAGTATGTGTAATGAATTTGCACGGGTCAGCTAGATTTATATATATTTTTTTATTTTAAACTAGCTACCCACCCTGGAGTCGCTCGGGTGTACATGTATTATACATATAAACCTTCCTCTTGAAACACACATCTATTAAAAAACGCTTCAAAATCCGTTGCGTAATTTTAAGCATTTAAGCATACAAAGGGACGGACAGACAGCGACAGCGACTTTGTTTTATACTATGTAATGATATCGCCATTGTTTTCAGTGGGGGCTGGGGGCCCTGGGCTGCAGCCCAAAAAGTCCTTAGGTAGATCCGCCCCTGTAATTATGTATTGTGTAGGTTCTGGAGGAGGCATACAGGGTGCTCGCGCCCGGCGGCCGGTTTATGTGCTTGGAGTTCAGTCACATACCCAACGACGCAGTGCAATGGTAACTATCACTAGGGATTATGTAACGCTGTTACGAATTCTAATTCCATTTCTATAAAAAAATATATAGTCTGAGGGCACCGCTAGGGGTTCGAAACTCAGCTCAGACCGTCGTAATTGCGATCCCCGTTGAAATGACCGACTAGTCTGCTCTAATCACTATGACTTATTTTCTCTTATTAATTGTTTAACCAGTTGTTGTATATTGAATGTTTTTTCTATTTTATTATTTCATTGAATTAGTGCTAATCGGTGGTTTGTATTCACACACTTAAACTTAAATTGTAATTAAGAATAAATTATTTTAAAGAGCAACACAGTTTCTTGCTTGTTCTTGTGATGAGACAGCATACCGAATGAGCGGTAGATTAAAAAAAATGTTATGACTATTCAAAAGTGCTTCAATGTACGTTTATTTGAATAAATGATTTTCTATTCTATTCTATTGGACGGGGGTTGAATCGATCGGACAAACAGCGACAGCGACTTTGTTTTATACTATGTAATGATGATCAAGCGACAGAATACAGGTTTGATTCTATAAAATAACGTTTATCGCAGGGTATATGATCGGTACTCGTTCCAGCTGATACCTGTGCTGGGTCAGCTGATAGCCGGCCAGTGGAAACCTTACCAGTATCTAGTTGAGAGCATCAGACAGTTTCCAAATCAGGTAAAGTTTTTAATACTAGACTGTTGTGGTTCTTTTTGAGCCTACGTGGAGTTAAATTACCTTCTACTTCACTTAGAGCAGGGGTGGCCGACAGGTCGATCAAGTTCAGTAGATCGTGGCAAAAAATATAAATACGTAGCATAATACTGCGCAACGTAATTAAATAAGTTAGATACGCATCATACATATAATTTACCCTAGGCCGAGCCTGTATCATACACACTACCTTCTTCCAGCGACAAAATTAAAAATTTGCAATTGCGTGGGTAGATTTAAATTTCAACTTATACAAAATATGAATGAATATATAAAATTATATTTTAATTAGTATTCTCAGTCAAATATGATAAATTTTTGCTATGATAATTATTTAATTCCTGCATGTATGCCGGAGGACGTCATTAAATAAGAAGTCTTGCTCTCAATGGACGCAGACTCTCATTGCCATTTGCCAACCAATCCGATTATAGTAGACATACTGATCGCGGATAACCCAGAAATAAAAAAAATAGTTTAAATAAAAGTAAATTTCACTAAATTTCAAACAAACAGTACAAATATAGCTTGTTGATAACAATAAGAATTATTTCAATATGCCAAAGATGAAAGAAAAACAGTTTAGCACATCGCTTTACTCACGATGGTTGCTGGTTCGATTTCTCGCACGATGCAAATTTTTGTTTTTTTTTATAATAATAATATCTCAGGGCAATTCACACAGCGCCATCTAGTCCCAAGTTAAGCAGAGCTTGTGTTATGGGTACTAGACAACTGATATAAATACATGGATACATTTTTTTAAAATAAATACATATTATATATAGAAAACACCCAGACCGAAAAAAACTCATGAATAAAAATGTTTGTACCGTGCGAGGAATCGAAACCACGACCATCGGATAGTAAAGCGGTGTGCTAAACCACCACCGAGGCTGTCAACATTGTATGTGAACGTTTTATGGGAGCGTCTGAAGGCAACTGTTTTTAATTAAATTTAATTTCCTGAGTAATATTTTTTTATCTTTATCAGTTTACTTATATAGCTTGTCCAGTACTGATAACACAAACTCTGCTTAGCTTGGGACCATATCATTGAATACAATAAGTTTTATTTGATTCATTGAAAACTCCAAATTTTATGTTCGCAGGAAAAATTCAAGTCTATGATCGAGGATGCTGGATTTAGACAAGTCACATATGAAAATCTTACATTGGGAACTTGCGCTATCCATTCAGGGTTTAAAATATAATATTTATTGTTATAAAGGCAGGTATACACACTGCAACATGTATTTTCCCGCCGATCGACCCCCGTCCAATACTAACGGACCCCGGAGGTTCGAAGCCCAGGGGTGGCCTCAGACTAGTCATATTATTGTAGTTTTATAAAAATCTATTCAGTGATCGATTCCCCGCCCGAATCAAACTGGGATCGAAATTACGACCGTCTGAGCCGAGGTTCGAACCCCAGCGGCCGTATATCCGTGAGGCGGGAGTTGGCCTTTAGCCGCTCTATAAGTCCTTCCTTTGGTTTGTAGCGCCATCTGCACTCGCCCCCTATCGTCCGGTGAAGCTGTAAAGGCCAGCTGCGACCAACAGCACTAGAGTAGTCCGATAACAAATGCAATATACTCTATGAATACTATATTTGAGTTCACTAGAAATAGAAATAATCTTTATTCAAATAAACTCATTACAAGCACTTTTGAATAGTCATATTTTGATTCTACCACTCATTCGGAATGCAGATTCATCGCAAGAAGAATGAGCAAGAAACTTGTGTGTTGCTCTTTTCAATAGGTTCTCACTTAGGTTTTAATACGTTTAGTTCCATCAGAAATATATAAAAAGGCAGTTGCATTGTGTGTACATGTCTTAAATTAGTTGATAGGGTATAAAATAAACAACATTATGTCCAAAAAGAATTTATTTAGTCCATCAAACTGTAAGTTTTTGGAATGCAATCCAGTACCTAAATACATTTCCAGCCATTACAACTATGATACAGTCGACGCTCGGCCGATTATATGGTACAATTTGTGATCCGTTTGTTTATCAATCTAATATAATATATACCTCGCACTCGCTCACATTCACACAATTTGGGAATAACAAACTACGTCAAATAAACCTGGCATTCGTTCCACGCTCGTCTCGCGCCGGCCTCTCGCTCGCACCTCTCGAATTAAGCGGAGAAAATGCATGCTAATTATTATATGACATAAATGTTAGGTGTCACACTAATGAGCGAAGCTTAATTATACTCGTCAGTTCTAACCGTCGCTCACCTACGTCTAGAAAATAAAACGCAGACATCGAGAAGCAAATAAAGTGTGAGTTAGGGATATCCAAACAAACAATGACGCTTTACACGGTGACAGTTCACTGGCTGCCGAGGTCTCGCCGCCGCAGTGGGCCCACTTTTTCGACTCGGTTTTTCAAAAAGCGATTAACTTAATCTGCCAATTAACGCTTGTTAACCTCATGCAGAGCTATTATATAAACTTTGCGTTCTATACATGAAAAACAATTATTTTTTTCCTATCCAAATATTAGTTTTAAGAATAAATATATCTATAACTTTGTGAGGGTAACAAACATTATCTATTGGCTTCTTAAGTTAATTGTTAATTGAAAAAAATCGCGGGCGAGTACCGTCAAAGCACGTCGCTCGTTCACAAGACGCAAGTTACGAGCGTGGGCGTTTCTCGCAGTGACTGCGACAGGCGGAGGCGGATGGTGATGGTAATCGGGCATAGACGCGACGGCGAGAGGGACAGCGGCGAACTGTCGCCGTGTAAACATGCCATAATACTTTGTACCGAGCGTGCACTCAACATAAGTTATTTGCAATAATTACAAAATCATACCCAAAGATCCGTGATCCGGCGTCCGTTCGGTCCGTTCGGTCCGTTCTGTGCGTCCGACAACCCGACTGGCCACATCCGAGATCCTTCGGTACGATCCCACTCCGTGCGAGAGTGCACCGGCACCGTCCTACTGCGATCCGATCCGATCCAATCCGACACTAACACCCGTCCGTCCGATCCGTCCCTGATCCGATCCGATCCGATCCTACGGCATCCTGACTCACACCTCCAGCCAAGCACATCCAATGATCCCAATCCACAGTGGATGAAACAAAAGAAAACTTATTTAATTATCTAATAATTGTTTTGTCATATTAAAATTAATTTACAAAAGATTACGACGGCCCGTCGCGGTCCCTCATCTATACACTTATCATATGTCGAATTATTAAAATAACCATTTGAAATAAAGAACTTATATAGTCAAAAATTTATCTGTAAAATTCTCAGCCTACAAACGAATGACCGTCACTCGACAATAACACACGTATAACATTAATATCTACTACAATAACACAGATCAAATTGAATCCATAATTTCATGATATGAACAGGTATAAACATCTAGCTACACAGTACATACATCGCTTTAGGGACGAGCCGAAAATTGTACAGATAAGAGCGTGGTTGCAACGGGCCGTGAAATATGTAGAGCTAGTTATGTGTAGAGCTAGTGTAACTAGTCTAGTCGGACGACTGCTGCTCCGGCGCTGGCTGCTGCGGCTGGCGCTGTCAACAACATGCTCAGTCGGTCACATGTCCACACCTCTATACATTACATACGCAATGATACTTTGAATAATTGAATCTAAACTTGTGGGCCAGTCCCCAGTCTGTTCAGGTTACGAACACTGTGACTTTTTGCAATAGCATATCCTCCCAAATTTTAATTTAAATTAAACTGTATTATTTTAAACATGTACAACATTTATTTGAAAAGAATACGAGTTCGAAATTCTTGTCAGTTCTCATCTCGAAACCATTCCGAACTGACGGTAGATTTGACAAGAGTCTGTAATAGACCTACGTGAGTAACGATATTTTGGATTTGAAAACACATTCTAGATATCATATAAACTAGTCGCCTATATTATAGAACGAGCAGATCAGATCAGATCAGTGTGGCTAAGGTTCTTGAATAAAATAGTATTACGACTTGAGATTTAATGAGATGTAAGCTATCCTATCATTCAAGTTGTATCAAACTGCACAATGTGCAAATCAAATTTGCAATCGATTCAGTAGTTTGGGAGTCCATCGCGGACGAACAACGTGACACGTTTTTATATATAAATATAGAAGCAAGATAGCTATTATAGAATAATAAACTGACTAGATCACTTCCTACATTATTCATAAACTAAACTTGACGGTCTCGAGGGTCTAACGGTTTAGTACACCGTCATACTCATGGCGCGGGTTCGATTCCTCGCACGATACGAAGATTTGTATTCATAAGTATTATTGTATCAGTCTGGATGTTTTTTATGTATATAAATTGTCTAGTATCTATAACACAAGCTCTGCTTAGCTTGGGACTAGATAGTGCTGTGTGAATTATACACAAAAAAACGAAATGGCTCTCAAAAACTTTGTAACTTTTGAATTATATTAACATAAGATATATATTATTCTGAAATAAGATATATATAGAAATGCAACTATTTCATTATATAACCGATCATTTTATATTTGCGATTCTACAATCACTATTTATTCCCAATGCAATGAAATTTATACATAAAAAATTCAAAGTATCATTGTTTCAATTATAATAAAACAAAAAGGTTACTTGTTTCAAATTGTCCAGTAGTCTGAAAAATCGTTTTTAAAGACATAGTTATGATGAAACTTATAGCTAAAATGTGTTGACTGTACATATGTGTACAAAACCAAGAGATCCTGAATTGAATCACAATTGAAGAGATCTTCAAATGTTGTGCATGAATTTAGTAGACATTATTTAAATATTATATGAAAATTAAACATATAAATGTTAACAAGTTTTATATTGTGAGTAACATCATTGAATATTGGGAACCTTTTAAATATTACAATAACTATTTAGTTTGTATATTGTGTACAATCATATATTACTGTATGTAAGTGATATTGTAAATAATTTTTGAGTTAGATTTGAATATTACATTATGACTGTATATGTAGATCGACTTGAAGCTATTGTTACATTTTATAGGGATCTATTTATAATTGATTCAGGTATTAGATTTATTTAACTGCCACATAAACAGATTGGAGAGTGTAATATTGAAATAACAGTTTTCTACTACATGCATGTGAATATAAATATGGTACAGACACACTGTCTGTCTGTTTGTTCCGGCTAATCTCTAAAATAGCTGGACCGATTTTGACGGAACTTTTATTGGCAGGTAGCTGATGTAATAAGGAGTAACTTAGGCTACTTTGATTTTAGATAAAGTTAAATTCCACGCGCACGAAGTCGCGGGTACAGCTAGTAAGTAATAATTAAAATATGACTGATATATGATTTTGACATATATTAATTATTTGAAAAAAAAAACTAATATTCATCTAAATTTAAAAAAGCTTCAAAGGCAGTACTCGCGTAATAGACTGTTAGTCTATGTTTTGAGATAATATTTGTTTCGTTTTAGTTTAGGTTATGTAAAGTGTAGCGTGTAGATCGTGTGTGTGTGTGTATGTATGTACGTACCTGGTGTGTAGGAGAGCGCCTCAGTAGGGGGAGCGGGAGCGCGAGCGGGAGCGCGAGTACGAGCGACGCACCGGGGAGTACGTCGGGGAGCCGCGCCGCCGCGGGGAGTACGACCGGGACCTGCACCCACACCACACGCTCTCACTACTACATCTCACTATCCATATAATAGCCCTCATTACTCCACTATGATAGCTCCTCACTACTCCACTTCACGTTAGCCCATATTACTCCGCTCTATGATTACCCCTCACTACTCCACTTCATGTTTTGGTTGTGAACACTGATTAAATTTTTAGTTCTTTGCGATAGCATATGCTGGTGGTCACTATTCTTCCAAACTGAATTTTAATGACTGTGTATTATTGTAAACGTGTACAACGTTTATTTGAAAAGAATACGAGCTGAGTTTCTTGTCTGTTCTTCTCATCTCGAAATCATTCTGAACTGACGGTAGATTTGACATATCATAAGACTCTGTGATAGACCTACATGAATAAAGATACTTTGAATTTTGTTAGCCCTCATTACTCCACCCCAGGATAGCCCATGACTATTCCACTTCATGATAGCCGTCACTGCTCCATCCCAGGATATCTCCTCACTACTCCACTTTATGTTAGCCCTTGTATACTCTATTTCATGATAACCCCTCACTACTCCATAACTAACCATAAATAAGAATACCATCTATTATATATTACTTTTATAACAAATTTCATTTCATTTCCACTCTATGATAGCCCTCTGTACCTTATGCCAGCCCTAATGGTACTCTTGCCTATACTACACCGCTGCTCATAATAACCTCATCAGGGTAGAGAGAGGGAATCATTAATAATGGAAATAAGTAACTTCATTGCTAGCAATATAGTGTGAGATTGGTTGACTTCCATGTGGTCCGTCCTGAATACCATACTGGTTAATTCACCACGATGGGCTGACTGACTTGACCATACATCATGATCATCATCTTTCACAGGCTTGTACATAACATATTTTCTACACTATACAAAGACTTAATATATAGAAGTATCCATGGTTTATTTCCATAGATGCATCTAAGACATACCATAGATAAAAAGTCGCGTCTGATGCATACTATTCCCAATTTACATTTTTTTACCAATTTCCAAAAAAAAACAGTTTCATTATTTTCCTATACTTTATATGTCTCCTCACCTTAAGAAGAAAGTTTTACTTTTTCTTATGAGAACTAATTTTGATAATTATTTTATTTTCAAGATGGTAATGTCTTGGTAATCTGATCAGTAGATTATTAATTCTACTGCGAGAGACTAGTCTCTCCCTAATATCCCAATATCTCGTCTAATTAATTGTAATAAAAGGTAAAGTTTGGGAGGGGATGTACAGAACAGAACAATCAAATTTATATAGGATGGCCACAGTACCTGTCACCACCACCACCACCGCCACCACCGCCGCCCCCGTAGTCCTCCTTCACACGTATGTACGACACCTCGCCCTGCAGACAAGTTCATACATCAACCATCATAGTGTCATGAACTAACTTGGAGAAAATTGACAAGGGGAGCATCAATAAAGTACTCAAATCAGCGCTGCAGATACACTGTACATAGTTATATAATAATAATCTCAGGACAATTCACACAGCGCCATCTAGACCCAAGTTAAGCTAGCTAAAGCTTGTGTTATGGGTACTAGATAACTGATACAAATAGATTTTTTTTTTCGTAAATACATACATGTTATATTTAGAAAATACCCAGACTGATACAAACAATCATACTCATGAATACAAATGTTTGTGCCGTGCGAATCAAACCCGCGACCATCGGATGTAAAGCGGTGTGCTAGACCACCGAGGTCGTCGTTATATGCAGAGTTAGATACATTTTATGATAATGGAATGGTGCACCCGCCTGCGCTTGCCGTTTACACTGACGGATTATAAAATGTGCATTAGGTCAAGTTACTCATCATTGTGACAAATTCACCAGGAATTTATCACAATGGTTTCCAAGGGTACCATGCGGTGTTCAATCTGACATGGTATTTTACCCATTTTTAGAAAAGAATTATGTTAGATTGGGCCCCCAAGTGAAGTTTCTTGAAAAGCATAGAGGTTAATTTCTGATGAATGAATGAATGAATTAACCTCAATCAAATTTAAACATTATTCTATCATCTTCTATAAAAAAAAAGACTGAGAGATATAGATAATAAGTCAGAGGAATTACAAATAGATATCCTTGAATTTTCACTAATGCCAGAATCAAACTGGCAAACAAAAAGAGCTATATTACTACAGACTATAGTTCATAGCTGTGGGTGCTCACCTCATGGCTCCTGAATCTTGAGTCATCCAATTTCTTAACAGCATACTTCATATCCTCGTGACGTAGAAACTCCACCACACCTGTGCCATCTTTGAAGGTATCGGCAAAGCAGACATCACCCGCTTCCCGCATATGATCTTTCAAGTCCTGCCAGGACCCTGATGGTGGTAGTCCAGTGACGAGCACACGGTATTCTGATCGGCGAGCGGGGGGTCCCCTGGTCGCTGTCCTGGCTCCGAACCGCTCGGGTCCTCCTCGGCCTCCTCTCATGCCTCCACCGCCGCCACCGCGAGGAAACTCCACGCGTAGTCTGTACCCATCATAGTCGTAACCGTCGCGGGCGCGGACTGCATCGTCAGCATCTCTGTAACATTGTTTTAGATTTTTTTATGCAAATAATAGACAAGCAGTTCTAATCAAGTGGATTAGATCCATTTTTTTTAATGGATGATAATGTAATGGTGCTCTATGTACTCTATGTACCCCCAATATCAAATTATTAATTTTTTTCTCTGTTCACTCCTAGATAGCTGATATTGTAAGGAGTAACATAGACCACTGGGGGGAAAGGGGATTGATAGTAATGTGGACTGATGATCTCATTGCTAGCAATATACCATGTCAGGTTAACATCCATGCAGTTCCCCCTGGAAATCACCATGATAAATTCTTGTTGAATTTGTAACAATGGCCTAACTGACCTGACCTCATGCTCATCTTAATATCCTTCACTGGTGCACCGCCAGCGTAAACCGTTAGCGCAGGTGGGTGCACCATTCAATTATCATCCATAAAAAAAACCTAGGCCACTCTGATTTTAGAAAGTGGCTTAAATATGATGGTTGTAATACACATGGACAATGATGCAGAACAGCTTGTTTAATAAAAATTTTGAGACACTGTAAATACATACAAAATATACAGAAATTTGTTAGGGTTCACATTGATATTGTCAAAAAATCTGATATTTAATATTAAAAGAAGGTAGTTTCATTATTACTTGGTATTGTTAAACTAGTTGCGTATAACCCCCACTCATATCTTCTCTGTATAAAAGGGAGGATTTTTGTAAGCCGCGGCATTCGGTGTTTGAGCATAGAATGTGCTGGTTCTAATTTAAATGCTAAAGTGAATTGTATTAGAGAGATAGTTAAATTAATGTTATATAGTTGTTATTTTATTATAATACATACTTTTACTAGTACATAGAGTTGATATATTTTACAAATTACAGTGATTAAATATACATTAATTGCATATAATAGATTTATAACGACATCATTAACTATACATATAAAAAAAATTGTAGTGTTTGTTTGTAGTATTGAAATAACCGTTTTGTATTACATACGTATGAATATAAATACGGTACATACACCAAAATAACATTTTTTACAATTTTTGTCAGGTAGCTGATATAATAAGGAGTAACTTAGGCTACTTTTATTTTAGAAAAATTCTTTTATTTTATTGAAATAAAGTTAAATTCCACGCGGATGAAGACCCGTCGGATGAAGCGTGTGTATGATATAAATACACACAAACATAAAGACAGACAGAGGTCATCAAACAATTGTATTATAATATATATATATATTGAATTTAAGTTAACAATTTCATACGTAATACCACAATAAAAACTAGAGAGAAAATTTAATTGAGCATTTACATTTTTGTTTATCAAGCAAAAATATCTAACTTGAAATTTTCGCACATGAACGAATAATTGAAGTATGTAGTACAAGTGGCATTAAATTACACGTGATTATTTTGTGACGGAATTTTCCAATCTAATACAGTAGGCGTACGATAGACAAACATTGATAATTTTAAAATCGACATGATGGCTGTTTTTATAAACACAAAATGATTTTAATGATACTTTATATTGATTATTTCTCACCTAGGATCCTCAAACTCGACGAAAGCGAATGGTGGCCCTTTCCTGTTCTTCAAATCGACAAATGTAACTTTGCCGAATTTGTAAAATAGGTCTTGTATGTCCTTTGTCCTAATATCCGGAGGTAAGTTACCGACATATATTCTGCACTCATTTCTATTGTTGCCGCTACCTCCCGACATAATATTTATATCTTATGCAGATGGTACGTAAATTTTATAATTATGAAGAAACACGATTTTCCATTCGGAACAAAATTCAAGCTATAGCGTCAGTTTGGTATGATCCAACAATTAAATTAATCAAATATGGCGTCGTCCGTGTGACGGACTAATGGACGATTTTAGCGTTTGACAGTTGCATTGCAATTCCACAGGAAAAGGAATTTACATGTTTTTTTATAAACGAATGCGTTCATGCCGCCATTTCTTGAAACGTTTCTAAATTGAGTATGTCGTATAAAATTGATGAATTATCTCACGATAATTTATCAAATTTTATCATTTATTTAATATACCATATCTAAAATATCTTTTTGATAACTTTAATAATAATCATAAAGTGTTTCTCATTGTAAAATATTGAAATGTTGTATTTAAAGCAACATCATGGTGACCACATTAAATCAAAACCCTATCGCTTTGTGTAACATTACGTCTACTAGCCATTATATTCTGAAAATTAATATTTTTGAAAAGAATGAATATATTTAACCAGAATATTTGTTACATTTAGAGTAATTTTTGTTGTAATCAAATAGTAATGTAATAAAAATTTAAGTTGAACGGGGATTTCATTGTTTGATATTTATCATAAAAAAATATCTTACAGAATTAAAAAGTAACGTACTCTTGTTCTTTTTTTAACCACTAAAAAGGTCTAATAGATTTCTAATATGGGTTAAAACGTCGTATAAAGCGTAAAGAATTCATTTATTTCAGACTGGCCGAAAATAAAACACTATGTTTAGAACGCACCATAATACACGTCATTTTTTAATCTTTCAAATTTGGAACGCCATCTGCAGCACTACAAAGAAACATTTAACGAAAGAAGCCTGTGAAAGAATCCTATAGAAAGTAGTCAGAATCTCCGGTATCAAAATCTTTACGTGATAATTTGTTCATATCTGGAAGTAAAAGTGAGTATATTTTATTTTAGTGTTAATATTTTCTTTGTTATTTATAGTTATTATTATTTTAGTGAAAATTAAGCAGGTAATTTTGGAAATAATCATAAAATGGTGATTTGTTGAATAATGCGGTTTCAAACCGCATGTATTCGCTAAAATATGCCTGTATTGATCAAACTTTCATGTTTCTATGGTATTATAGCAGTAACCTGGTAGGTGGGATTAGTTTTATCTTGTTTGCAAGCCTTTATTAAAACGGGGGTCGTTCGCGCTCTTCCTCGATTTCTATTGATGACGGGCCTGTCTGCTACCGCTTCCGTTCGAATAAGCACGAAAAAACGTCCCCAGTGCATACAGGAGTCCAGGTATACCTACAGTGCTCGTTAGGTTTTATTTGAACAATCTAGAAAATTTGCGAAAGCATGCGGAGTTGATTCCCACGGTAAATTCATAAAGGGCGCGCTGGAGTCCCGGGTAGCTCCTGACCTTTACTGGAGTCTATTTTTAGCTTAGCCTGTTATTGAATATAAACATTCAATGAGCATTAGGCATGATGCTGAAAGCTACAGCTCTGGTATCGAAACATTTCATATCCTAATCTTTCCACGTCCCTGATAACGCGAGATAAAATATTATATAGGCTTATGAAAATCATGCAGATGAAAACAAAATTACGTTAGTTTACTGATTACAAGGTTAGCATTTCTACTACGGAAAGTTTTTAATTTTTTCTAAACATTTTTTTTATGTTAATTTTCTTTGACATACTGATTCATCACAATATTATTTACTTTAAATATATTTAATACTTGTAAATAAAATAAAGCATATTAATATTCAACCGCTATTACATATTTTAGTCTTCTCCTATAAAAAATTAAAAGAGTGTACTTAATTTTAATTTTTTTTTTTATGAAAATATCTTGTAATAAGAGGACATAAATGTTTAATAGGTGAAATAATTTTATTATGTTAGTCTTTAAAATACAAAATACTCTAATTTATTTTAGTTATCAACTAAAATGAGTCTGGAGGGGTTGTGATAAATATTGATATCCAAAGTGTTTGTGTTTCTAACTGTGATCTATTTATAATGCATTTAAAATCAATAAAATTAATAATAAATGATTGTCTTGACTGTCTTGACAGAAAGAAGCAGGGTTTAAGCAAAATTAATATATATAGATTTTTTTATTTAATTCAGGCCACATGGCCCATATTACAAATACCTTGTAGACAAACATACATAAAAAATGTCTCTATGGTCATGGCACTGACGACGGCAATCGGCAACGGTGTAGTGCTGATACACCACCCCATTCGGCCAGTATTCCTCAGTCATGAAAGTGGGGCAGCATGTTGATGGGGGACCTGGGCCATGAACCCTTGAAGCTCGTTTGAATTTATAACAATAGTCAATAATTTTTGTTTGTTGCGGCAGGAACACAGCTGACAAGATGTGCGACCGCAAGGCGGTGATCAAGAATGCCGACATGAGCGAAGAGATGCAGCAAGACGCAGTAGATTGTGCAACACAAGCGCTCGAGAAATTTAACATAGAGAAAGTAAGCCATTTCAATTTTACACTCTGTAGTAATTTATCTAACTAGTGGTAGATCACCTTGGCTTCTTTCAGGTGATTGTTCCTTTTTAAGTATTCCAAATTTTACTCTGCTATTTTATCTAACACTCATAGGTCATCTTGGCTTCTTTCAGGTGCTTGTTTCTTTGAAGTTTTGTAAATATTTCGATTTTATTTATTACAAATAGTACACAATTATACTTTTGAAATTTTGACAATACATAGTTTGGCATAAAAATAACATTTAATAATCAAACAGAATTTATTTATGTAGGACATTTTAGCCGCTTATGAATGTTAAATTTTTTTGTATTATTTTTCCCACCCGTTCAGTTCAGTATAAAGATTCAATTGCAAAGAACAGGCAATTTTTTCCCTTGCAGTTCAGTATAAAGATTCAGTAGAGAAGAATTGACAAGAAACTCAACTAAATCTCTATTTTTTTAAAAGATATACTGTGATCTTATATAGGTGTCTGGTATGTGATTTAACAGATGTTTTGAATTTATTTAAAACCAATTCCAGTATATCCTTTGGTATCTTATTGTAAATTTTTATACCCATTAAAAGACCTATAATAGGATTTACTCAGTAAATGCGTCATACTCGTGAACGAGTGCTGCTTGTAGGGACTGGTCTGCTCTTATCACTACGACTGATTTAATCTTATTGTTTTTATATTTGACCCTAAATAAATTAGTGCTGGTTGGTAGTTTGTAATCACACATTTCTACTTGTAAAATGTGAACTTACGAGGATTATTTAAAAGAGTAACACACAAGTTTCTTGCTTGTTCTTGTGATGAGGCAGTTTTCCGAATGAGTGGTAGATTAGAAAGAATGTTACATTCAAAAGTGCTGAAATTAAGTTTTTTGAATAAATGATTTTCTATTCTATTCTAATATGATTTAACAGATATTTGGATTTGTATAAAGCTAATTCCAGTTGTCCTTTGGTATTTTATTGTAAATTTTTATACCAGTTCCCATAAAAGATCTATTGAATTTTAACATTGTGTGATCTGCAACAATACAAATTGGTTCTAAGCTCATTTGAATAATATATAGTCTGTCACTGTCATAATACAGGTTTTAAACTGTAGAATAATTTCTTTAATGGACTATAAACATGCAGTTTCTAGAGTTTTCTAGAGTTTCTGTGCTTAGCATGAACAGTTTTTTAACATCTGTATTTTTGATCTGAATCATTTTAAACATGAAATACTGGTATTCTCTCTAGTGTAGATTACTTGAAAGACGAGCGTCCATGGCAATAGTGCTTCATGCACGGGATTTTCATTTAATGTTGGACATGCACAGAACTGGCTTTTAAAAAAATAAAATAAAATATTCAAATGAGTTTCTTGCCAGTTCTTCTCAATTGGATCTATATACTGAACTGAACTGTAGGGAAAAATTAAAATTATCTAAATATATATAACTCAAAGGTGACTGACTGACATACTGATCTATCAACGCACAGCCCAAACCACTGGACGGATCGGGCTGAAAAATGGCATACTTGCATGTACTGATCTATCAACGCACAGCCCAAACCACTGGATGGATCGGGCTGAAATTTGGCATACCTGCATGCCATGTTATGACGTAGGCATCCGCTAAGAAAGGATTTTGATTAATTCTACCCCCAAGGGGATAAAATAGGGCATGAAACTTTGTCAACTTTAAACCGATCGGGCTGAGACTTTGCATGCATAGAGTTACTATGATGTAGGCATCCCCTAAGAAGGGTTTTAATAAATTCCATCTCTAAGGAGATAAAATATGGGATGAAAGTCTGTATAAATCTTCTTAGATTTTAGACTGAACTTAAATTAAAGATGGAAGCTACTATGATGAAGACCTTCGCTTAAATAGAATTTTGATAAATTCAACCCCCATAGGGATAAAATTAGGGATGATGCACGATGTAAATGTATTAGTTTGAACCTATCAGTACCTAATGGAACGAATAAATTAAGACGAACAAAATATTTTTTAGTTCTTTAGGCTACTTTTATTTTAGAAAAGTAAAGTTAAATTTAACAGCTAGTTATGTAATAAAATTGACGTTCATAAGCGGCTAATATGTCCTACATGAATAAATGATTTTTGTATTTGAATTGAATGAATGAATCTAAAAAAAAATGAATATGCATCTGTACAATATTAGAACATAATAGTCTATCAAGACCATACATAAGGGCCATTATACTATTATTAGTGAGGCCAACACTAACATTACAATTAAGTTTATCGAAGGCTATTTGCTCTTAAAGCTATGAATCTACATCCAGTTTTTTGTACAATTTACACAGCGCCATCTATGGGTCTAAATGTGCAGCTAGTGTTTCATAACCTTTGTGTAATGGAAGTGGTAGATTTGGTGTGCATATATTAATTGACCTACTGGCAGCCGCTAAACAAGTGGGGCCTCACAACACTGTGGTTATGTTAGTTAGTGCCGAGCGTTGCGTTCACACACTGATAAAACTGTATTTAAGTGGTTTTCCTGTGGTCGACCGCAATAAATAGATTGTTTGAACGACAATTTCACATGTACTTTAACTGTTGGGTATTGCTACAATTTATAAATAACTAGCTGATCCCGCGACTTCGTCTGCGTGGAATTTACCTTATTTTTCTAAAATATAAGTAACCTATGTTACTCCTTATTACACGAGTTACCTGTCAAAAAAAGTCCCGTCAAAATTGGTCTAGCCATTTCAAAGATAGCCGGACAGACAGACAGACAAAAATTGTAAAAAATGCTATTTTGGTGTATGTGCCATATTTATATTCGTATGCACGTAATAAACTACGGTTATTTTAATATTGCAAACAGGCACTCGCAATTTTATTTATATGTATATGAGTAAGATTGTAACATTAGCGATGATAATGTAATGGTGCACTCGCACTGCGCAAATGGTGTACGCTGGCGGGTTATGAAGGATAGGATGAGCTTGAAATCGTGGTGAATTTACCTGAAATAGACCTCGGTTTCCAGGGGGAGGGCGTGTAGGTAGATTTGACGTGGTACATGTCCTTCACTTGATCATAGATTTAACTAATACGGCTCAAATGGTAGTTTTAATAAATTAAAAGATATATATAAAAAGCCGACTCGTTGCTGTGGCTAAGGTTCTTGAATAATATTGGGACTACAAATTGAGATGTAAGCTATCCTACCTTTCAAGTTGGATCAAATTGCACACAATGTGCAAATCAAATTCGCAATCGACTCAGTAGTTTGGAGAGTCCATCGCGGACAAACGTGACACGTAATTTTTATATGTAAAGATTAAATAAATTTATTAAAAGTCGGAAAAAGTTGGTGAGAAGTTGAGAACTCGTACAAAATGTTGGAAATCTAGGTATTAGAAGGCAAAAATTTGACTTGTTACAAGAACTTCAAAATTGTAAAACAAATTTATTTAATAACTAGCTACTCACCCCGGCCTCGCCCGGGTGTACATGTACTATACATATATACCTTCCTCTTGAATCATCTATTAAAAAAAAAGTATTAAAATTCGTTGCGTAGTTTTAAAGATTTAAGCTTACATAGGGACAGACAGCGGCAGCGACTTTGTTTTATACTATGTAATAAAGATTTGGAACATAATAAATTAAAGAGTAAAATTCAAGAGTTAGAATCTTTATTATCTTGTTTTGTTTGATTGTGCCGCAATATGAAATTAATAACTAGTAAATCGCTGTATTAATTAATGGAGTTGGGAAATCACATCATTGAAAGAGAAGTGTTGTGAGACACATGACTGCCGCAGCTGGCCTTTATAGCTTCTCCGAACGATAGGGTGCTAGTCAGGGCCGGATCGTCAATTTGTGGGGCCTTGGGCTAAATCTACTTAGAGGCCTACCTACTTAATTACTCAACTAAAAAAATACACCGATCAAAAATAAGCGACCAGAAATTCCCCATTTCTTTCGATAGACGCGCACTTGCTTGGTTGATTGATCTCAGGGTTGCCAACTTTATGATAGGCTTTTTAACATTCTAGATATTTTTTTATATTCCAAATATCGTTTCAGTGGGGACTGGGGGCCCTTTGTATTTTCAGGGCTCTGGGTTGCAGCCCAAAATGCCCTTAGGTAGATCCGCCCCCGGTGCGAGTGCAGATAGCACTTCAAACCCGCGGAAGGACTTATGGAGCGGCTGAAGGCTAACTCCCGCCTGACCGATACTGACTTTACAATTTCATCGAACAGCCTTCCAAAGTCGTGTCAGTATAGCTTCCATTAACGAAATGTTTGTTGTGTTGCTGCAGGACATCGCCGCGTATATAAAGAAAGAGTTCGACAAGAAGTACAACCCGACGTGGCACTGCATCGTGGGCCGCAACTTCGGCTCGTATGTGACGCACGAGACGCGCCATTTCATCTACTTCTACCTCGGCCAGGTCGCCATCCTGCTGTTCAAGAGCGGTTAGATCGTGCGCCCGCCCACTCTTGCTCTCTAAATTTTTTGTTGTTAGCAGCGAACATAGTGTTGCGCTCGCTCGCTCCGCCCGGACACCCGGACGTCCGGACGTCCGGCAGCCGGACGCCGAACGGCCGCGCATCCGGACGGCCGGACGCCGGTCTGCCGCGCCCCCGGACGTCCGGACGCTGGACGGTTTTGTCCGGACGGCCGGACGTCCGGGTGTCCGGGTGTCCGGGTGTCCGGTCGTCCGGACGGCAGCGGGCGAGCGCTCGGGCGAGCGGTTCTCTGCGCTGGTCGCATGTGCGTCGAGCCACTTCACTTAGTCCCCGGCGCACTGGTTGTATGTTTGTACTGTGTTAGTTAATTAAGGTTCCACCTGACTCGACAACATTCACATTTAGTGTATTTATATTAAAGAAAATTTTAGTTAATTGTAGAGTTTTATTCCTAATTACCTAGCATAGCGCGGAAGGTATATATAATTGTACTTATGTATCTAAATTAATGTTTAGTTTTGTTGATATGTTCACTGGAGATATTTTCAATACTTCTCGAATTAAACTTTCTTACAAACCAATGTGATTTCTTTTCTTTCCCAACTCCCTCCTGCGTTCTTAGAGCACTAAAGATAAGGGCGCGTTTCTTTGAAACGATGCATAAACGATGATACTTACTATAAAATTTAAGAATTCGTTAACGACAATGTTTTTATAGAAAAACTTAAAATCCATAGCACTGACAATATTATCTGATTACACTAATAATGAGTGCGTAGCGATTTCTATGTTGATTATCGCATGCCTCTTACTTGTTATACTGTAATTATTATATAAAAAACATCTATTCAAAAGAGCAACACACAAGTTTCTTGCTCATTCTTCTTGCGATGAATCTGCATTCCGAATGAGTGGTAGAATCAAAATATGACTATTCAAAAGTGCTTGTAATGAGTTTATTTGAATAAAGATTATTTTTATTTCCATTTCTATATCTAACAATGTACCATTACCTCGCGGTACCCCAAAAAACTGATACTTAAGGTGGGTTTTGAAAACCACAGCACAGTATTTTATATACTTCGATCGAGGCTAACAAGCATACGGTCTGAGAAACCTGAATATAGCCTTGTAAAACCCCAGAGGAAGCACCTGAAACTGCACTATCCGAAACCATATAGGTTCCAGCGTGTAGGGATGAATTCCTTGTCAATGGTGAGCGAAGTGATGGTAAAAGGTCGTAGCATCATATCGAGCTATTGACAGTTGTTACACTACCCTACATTGTACATTATTTTTGTAATAAGTATTATATTTTGGTACTTGAACAACCCCGAGAAAACCCCTTGGGGTACAAAATATAGTAAGAAACATTAAGTAGTCTTCACACTTGACTTTATGATAACCATCCAGCTAAGATTATTGAATAGTATGTCCATACATAGGTCTTGATTTTTTTATACTATACTAATAATAAACCGCGATTTCGTCCGCGTAGAATATTGATGTTGGATACCATTTTTAATTATTTAGGCCAATTATTTTACAGATAAAAAAACCCAAATATACATACAACCTCTCATCACCTATTTTATTTTACCCCCTTCAGGGTAAAATGTTCAAAAACTGAATGTCATATTTATTTATTCATGAGTATGATTGTTTGTATCGGTCTGGGTGTTTTCTATGTATAATATGTATGTATTTACAAAAAAAAAGATATCTATGTATATGTATCAGTTATCTAGTACCCATAACACACGCTCTAGCTAGCTTAACTTGGGTCTAGATGGCACTGTGTGAATTGTCCTTGTTATTATTATTATTATTATTTATATTTAATCAACAGCCTAAAAAATAAGTTTTGAGCTTTTAGCTTAAAAATTAGGATACTTCCACAAAACCTTTCATCACCCCTTTCAGTACCTTACACAACCCTTTTTCGCATAAAAAGTAGCCTATATCTGTTCTCAGGGTCTAGACTATCTGTGTACCAAATTTTCATTTCAATCGCTTCAGTAGTTTTGGCGTGAAAGCGCGATGGACTGACAGGCTTTTATAATTTTAGTATATTTATAATATTAAGTAAGGATTTTATATGTTTGTTGGTCTATAAGGTATTTATAGTAATAAACATTATTATCCTGAAATAAATAAATAAATTTTATAACGACCTCGGTGGTTTAGCAGTTTAGCACACCGCCTTACTTCCGATGGTCGCGGGTTCGATTCCTCGCACGGCACAAACATTTTTATTCATGAGTATGATTGTTTGTATCGGTCTGGGTATTTTCTATGTACAATATGTATGTATTTACGAAAAAAAACATGTATTGTATCAGCTGTCTATTACCTATAGCACAAGCTTTAGGTAGCTTAATTTGGGTCTAGATGGCGCTGTGTGAATTGTCCTGAGATTGTTATTATTATACTAGCTGTTACTGCGACTTCGTCCGTGTGGAATTTAAATTTATTTTCTAAAATAAAAGTAGCCTAAGTTACTCCTTATTACATCAGCTACCCGCCAATAAAATTCCTCGGTCCAGCCATTTCAGAGATTAGCCGGAACAAACAGACAGACAAACAAAAACTATAAAAAATGTTATTTTGGTATATGTACCGTATATATTATTCATATGCATGTAGTAATAAACGGTTATTTCAATATTACAAACAGACACTCCAATTTTATTTATATGCATAGACTATAATTTCGGCCATTAGAAGCCTGAAATAAATAAATAAATTTTAATAAATTCAGATAGTCATAAATATATTGACCGCATACATTTTTATAATGAAGCTATGATTTCCATTTGTTAAACAAAAAAGTTTATACATCGCGTGACTAGTAAAATATTCAAACCTAGGACATGAAATACTTTTAATGGTATGTGATATTGCAGGTCGAGTCGTGTCACGCTATATGTATGTATTTGCATCTTGTTTATATTTGAAAGTTACCACCCGTCGGTTTTTCTCAGGACATGTCCTAGTTTTTGTAGTGTACTGGGACGTCCTGTATAATTTTAAGTATCGTCATTTTTTAATTTTTTTTTTTAAAAAATCGGTTTTTTTAATTAAAAAAAAAGAGAAATATTTACGCACTTTTAGTAACTAGTTTTCAACATGTATAATTGGTGGGATCCTTCCCATGGTTGTTTTTTTATTGTTAGCAAGGATGTTATGGATATGAAATTTGGGATACGGATAGGTTTCGGATATACGAATGATTATTATACCGGATACAGATACGGATGCGGATATGAAATTATTTCGGATTATCCGTTAGTTTCGGATAATTTCGGTTACGGATATTAATTTTTAAGGAATTTCAAAAGTAAAATACAAATAGCTAATAAAACGGTTACATAACGTGTCTCAATTAGGCTCCGTCCCTATCCGATATTATCCGGAATTTTTATTTCGGATTTGGTTACGGTTATGAATATTTTTTTATATCGGATATCCGATAGTAATGGATAGTTACGGAGCTTCCTAACATCCCTGATTATTAGTGTATTAATTACCCCCTTGCTAACAATGTACCATGTCAGGTTGACCTCCACGCGGTTCCCCCTGGAAACCATCATGTTAAATTTCTGGTGTATTTGCCACGATGTGCTAACTGACCTGACCTCATGGTCATCTTATCATCCTCCACTGCAGCGTAAACCCGCCAGTGTGCACCATTCCTTTATCATCCATAAAAAAATACACAGCGCCATCTAGTCTCACAGTAAGCAGAGCTTGTGTTATGGGCAGTAGACAACTGATATAAATATTTAGTTTTTTTTGTAAACATATATAATATATATAGAATACACCCAGACCGATACAAACTATCATACTCGTGAATACAAATGTTTGCACCGTGCGAGGAATCGAACCCGCGACCATTCGAAGTAAAGCGGTCTGCTAAACTGCTAGACCGAGAGCAATCAATTATCCAATACTAGCTACTCGCCACGGCTTCGCACGGGTGTACATGTAATGTACATATAAACCTTCCTCTTAAATCACTCTATCTATTAAAAATAACCGCTTCAAAATCCGTTGCGTAGTTTTAAAGATTTAAGCATACATAGGGATGGACAGACAGCGATAGCGACTTTGTTTTATACTATGTAATAAAGATATATTTACTATGTAATGATTTTCCAACTTCTTTAATCCAATTTAAATATTTTTTCAGGCAGATTTATACCAGAGTCTGTTATAAATCTGCCTGAAAAAGATTTAAATGTCATATAAAATTTCATTTCATATCAGTTCCTTTGCTTACTATAAAAAAGTCGTTACGATAATATAAAATTTAGCACTGACAATATCTGATTACACTAATAATGAGTGCGTAGCGATCTATGTTGATTATCGCATGCCTCTTACATGTTATACTGTAATTATTTATCCCATCAAAAACATAAATGTGAAATGATAGCCGAGTTTAATATTATGATGTATACCTTGATTGTTGACTTCTACGACAAAAGAGATGAGATCTAAATGGCTGCCAAGTTCAATGGTCTGTCCTGAAATGTATTTATACCAATATAAAATATCATTTCTTCTTATAACTTAGGATAAATATGTAGCCTAAGGTCATGTTTTATAGAAAAACTTAAAATCCATAGCACTGACAATATTATCTGATTACACTAATAATGAGTGCGTAGCGATTTCTATGTTTATTATCGCATCAGCCTTTATATTCTTACATACCAAATGTTATACTGTTATAATTTTGATTATATATAAAAAATGACGATTTTTGGACATTAATATCTAAAACCGTTTGAGATATGTTTATGAAATTTGGAACACATATTTATCTCGCAAGTCTCAATATATGAACCAAATTTGACAAGTTTCTTTCTCATTCTTCTTGTGATGAATCTGCATTCCTATTCAAAAGAGTAACACAATGTTTCTCGTGTGTAGAATAAAAATATGACTATTCAAAAGTGCTTGTAATGAGTTTATTTGAATAAAGATTATTTCTATTTCTATTTCAAATCCTATTTTTTTACTTGTCGTTGGCAACCCTAATGTATGTACTTGTTGCCTAGTAATAATGTTTTCATTGTGCTTCATCGATTTTCAGTGACCTTCAAATGAAATCCTTTCGACTCGTTCATACGTCACGTGGTGGTTTTCCACGTATCTACCTACTTATGGCATTTTTTTTTTTTATTCTTTACACTATTGTATTAATGCCATATGGCATTCTCTACCAGCTAACCTTTGGGTAGAACTAGAAAGCGTTGTAGGGCAGTAATGGCAAAAATTTGTATATTAATACTGTACTAAATAATAGGCAAACAAAATCTATGTACATATATAATTTATGTTATATAAATATAATATATACTTTAAATATACACACACATATATATATATATATTGAAATATATAAATTATACAGAATAAATACATAAATACGCTAAATATAGTTGAAAGTTACTTAACTACAGTTGCTCATTTTGCGACTCAACAGGTAATTAAATAGTTTCGTTTTAAAAATGGTCACTACGCAGGTCTACAGGCATTATATTCCAGAGGTTAATTGCCGTAACTGTGAAGGAGTTTGACATAAAGCTTGTATGATGGGAAGGAGTAGAGAGAAGGAGGTTATGAACTGAACGGAGGTTACGTTAATGAGAGTCGCCAATGAACCGAAATCTATTTTTCAAATAAGTGGGAGAGGAAGAGTCGAATATGATGGAGAAGAGTGTGCAAAGGATACGCAAGTTTCTGCGGTTACGAATTGACAACCATTTAAGTTGTGAGCGAAATTTAGAGACGTGGTCACTTTCTCAGCCCAAAAATGAACCGAATACAGTTGTTAAGTAATCGGTCCAACTTATTCAACTGATCTTGGGAGAGATTAGTAAGACACACGTCAGCATAATCAAAATGCATTATGTGTACATTTGTATTTTATTGATGATAATGGAATGGTGCACCCGCCTGCGCTAACGGTTTACGCTGGCGGGGCACCAGTGGAGGATGATAAGATGAACATGAGGTCAGGTCAGTTAGCCCATCGTGATAAATTCACTAAGAATTTATCGCGATGGTTTCCAGGGGGAACCGCGTGGAGGTCGACCTGACATGGTACATTGCTAGCAATAAGATCATCAGTCCACATTATCCTTTTGTGTTCAGTTAGCTACATATATAAGTATTGCGTTGACAATAGTCAATGTTTTGGGACAGAACTTTATATTACACTAGCTACTCGCCCCGGCTTTGTACGGATGTATATGTATTATATATATAAACCTTCCTCTTGAATCACTCTATCTATTAAAAGAAACCGTTTCAAAATCCGTTGCGTAGTTTTAAAGATATAAGCGTACATAGGGACGGACAGACAGCGACGGCGACTTTGTTTTATACTATGTAATGATGACTAGTAGTCTAACTAGATGACCCGTAAACGTATTGCCATATCAATTAATATCGTTATAAAAAACTGGGGTTGATAGTAGAAAGGGTGGAAATTTAGGACTGAATGTATTTTTTTATGCCGAAACGTAAAACAATAAAATGAAATATTAGTCAGTAATTTTTTTGGGGTCACTCTTGTTGTTTAGTTATATGAAATACAGCTGTACCCGCGACTTCGTCCGCATGGAGTTCTAATTTTATTTTTATAAAGTAAAAGTAGCCTATGTTACTCCTTATTGCATTACCTACCTGTTAATAAAAGTCCAAAATAACATTTTTTACAATTTCTGTCTATCTGTCTGACGGTCTCTTTGTTGCGGCTAATCTCTGAATTTGGTGGACCGATTTTGATCGGACTTTTTTTGGCAGGTAGCTAATGTAATAAGGAGTAAGTTAGGCTACTGTTATTTTAGAAAAAGAAGTCGCGGGAACAGCTAGTGTACAAATAGATTAAATCAGTCGTAGTTATATTTGACTGTGTCTTCAAACACGGGCATCTTATTGGAAAGTATATATTATTATTATTGTTAAAAATGGAGACCAAACAATGATGGTATTAAAAAAATATACATCTGTTTCATAATTTGAAGTGTAATAGTTATTTCCTAATTATTTATAACTGCTTTCTTGATTTAATTGATTGATTTTAGAAATATGAAAGCGTAGCGGTTTTTGTATTGATTGCCGCATGCATTCTTATGTAAAATGTGAATACTATAACTATCAGATGGCAATTGTAAGTAGCTTTGACGTGGTCTAGTGTTTTGAGTAGTCATGCTCACTAAAATGTCCAGACTTGTGGCGGCGTGGTGGGCCGTGTCATTGGGCTCCCTAAAATATGGTCGAGCGCAATGATGGCTGGCTCATCCGTCATACTCGTGAACGGGTGCTGCTTGTAGGGACTGGTCTGCTCTAATCACTATGACTGATTTCCTCTTATTAATTGTTTAATCAGTTGGTTATATATTCTATATTTTTCTATTTGAGTATTTAATTGAATTAGTGCTAATTGGTGGTTTGTATTCACACACTTAAACTTAAAAATGTAAAGTAATAATAAAATTATTTAAAAGAGCAACACGCAAGTTTCTTTTTCGTTCTTCTTGTGATGAGACAGCTTTCCGAACGAGCGGTAGATTAAAAAAAATGTAATGACTATTCAAAAGTGCTTCAATGTAAGTTTATTTGAATAAATGATTTTCTATTCTATTCTATTCTATACTATTATTAGACATATTTTGCATTGATAACATAAACCGCAGACTTGCTTATCATACACCCTACGCTGCATAGAGATGTGCTAACTCGTAATAAACATGACTCGAGTTAACTCGAGTTGAAACTCAGGTAACTCGAGTTGACTCGTTACCTTGAATAAACAGTTTTTTTTTAATTTTTCGAAGAATTTTCATGTTTTTGCAGCTGGCCTTGAAAGCTTCTCCGAACCATACAGGGCGAGTAGAAACACACAAGTTTCTTGCTCGTTCTTCTTGTGTTGAGACAGATTTCCGAACGAGCGGTAGATAAAAAAAATTGTTATGACTATTCAAAAGTGCTTAAATTAAGTTTATTTGAATAAATGATTTTCTATTATTTTAATGATAAAAAAATCGGACGAATATGGGAAAAAAATGATCACCTCAAATTAATATCGAGACATTTGTGACGAGTGAAAATTTTATGATATGAAATGATCGGAAAACTTGTCATTGTCGGTTCGACGACAGAATCATGCTCTCGCTCTTTCACTTGATTCGTTTATTTACCAGTTGAATTCTTCCAACTCGAGTTGACACATCTCTAACGCTGCACACGTCCCGTTTCCATGCACACGACAATTATGAGATTTTTATATAAAAATCATGGTCAACAACGATCTTATACATTCGGGCCGTGAGTACACGGCTAGACAGACAAACACGTAAATTAAATATATTTAGTTAGTATTAATTCCGCAGTTCTAATAAAAGGTAAGTTAAATTATACAATTTATTTAGTTACTACTAGCTGTACCCGCGTCTTCGCATGCATTGAATTTAACTTTAATTTTCTAAAATAAAAGTAGCCTAAGTTACTCCTTATTACATCAGCTACCTGCCAAAAAAACGTCCCGTCAAAATCGGTCTCAGCCATTTCAGAGATTAGCCGGAATAAACAGACAGACAGACAAAAGTTTTAAAAAATGTTAGTTTGGTGTATGTACCATATTTATATTCATATGCATGTAGTAAAAAAACGGTTATTTCAATATTACAAACAGACATTTCAATTTTATTTATATACATATAAATTAAATTGAAATCTGTTTTAGAACTGGGAAATTAATATTTACAGGTATAGATTAATTCCGCAGGTCTAATAATAGGTTAGTTAAATTGTTATAACAATAAAATATATTTAGTTAGTAGTTATGTAGTATTTATTTAGCAATACAAAGTGATTTGAATTTTATAAATATAGCAAATTTTAGCAAAATATAGCAAATAAACTAAGCAATATTTCTAATAAAAGTAGCCTAAATAGCGTATGTCTCTGGGCAGTGCCTGAATATCAGTGAATTGCTGCTTGTATGCTGCAAACAATACACTGAGGTGCTGCTTTTTTACGTATGGGCTCTGCACACACACTACGTTACTCATACCGTCTTTTTAATGTTATCTGTATTGCATTTTATTTTATCTGTATATTTATAGTGTATATGTGTATATCAAGAATTAAAGAGCATGATGGAAGATCGCGGAAAGTGGCAAGAGCTCCACCGACAAGAGCGTAGCTCTTAAATTATGAATGAATGAATTTGTAGTGTATTGTATTTTGTTTGAGTTGGCTAATGTAATTGTATATCTGTTTTCATTTTTGTTCATAATTATTTTATCTATGTATCTATCTAAATTACTTCTTATAATATTAGCTATCGGCAAGTCCCGTCAAAATCGGCCCAGCCAATTCAGAGATCAGCATGAACATACTGACAGTCAAAATATCTGTATATATTTCGATGATTATTTTGATACAAGTGTCGTATATACTTTCATATGAATAAAAATGAAGTTTCTGTTCATAATGTCAAATTGACAGCTTTTCACAAAAAAGCTGTAGAAATAGAAATAGAAATAATCTTTATTCAAATAAACTTAATATAAGCACTTTTGAATAGTCAAGTTTTTTTTATTCTACCACTCATTCGGAACGCAGATTCATCACAAGAAGAATAAGCAAGAAATTTGTATGTTGCTCTTTTAAATAAATATTGATTTAATTTTTTTTTTAGTTCGGTTTTTCCCTTTTTAGGGAAAGGCAAAAGATTGATTTACTTATATTAGGCATACGACAAACTGTCAATTTGACATTATGAACAGAAACTTCAATGTTATTAATTTGTATACATAATAATAATAATTTACCATTACGGCTATTACACCAGATGGTATAGTCAGTGACGTAAGTATGGCACACTAGGGAGGGGTCTAAAGCGAAATGAGAGGGGGGAGGCGGAAGTGGATTGTCAGTAATGTGCACTGATGATCCCATTGCTAACAACGTACCATGTTCTCCCTGAAAATCATCGTGATAATTTCCTTGTGAAATTATCTGGGTGTACCATTTCATTATGATACATTAAAAAAATAGGGAGTAGGCAAAAAGTATAGAATTATTATGACATGTTAGAATTCACATCATTATTGTAGAAAAAATCCGATATTTTAAAAATATATTAAAAGAAGGTAGTTTGTTTTTAGTACTAATGAAGTACCCAATGTAAGGATTATTACGAATATTGTAAATAGCGCCATCTAGTATTTATAGACCAACCTACTACACTGACTTTGGTCTATAAATACGGAGGTCGGTAGTTGAATAATCCTCTTTCGTTGCGTGAGCCGCGGCATTCAGTCGACGAGCGCAGAGCGTGCCAGTTGTGTTTTGGACAATAAAGTGAATTGTATTAGCAATGGGTTTATCCCGGTCTTAATTGGGCCTGGGGGGGAAGCTGCAAGTAGTGAAGGTGAGTGTTAATGCATTCTAAAAGGGCCTTTTAAACCTACACCCGTGTCACAAGTCATGGGCGCTACTTGGGGTTTCCCTTGCGGTAGCCGACTTCAAAACCTCAGTCGTCCATCTGGTTTATTGTAGCTGCAAGTAATAATCAATATTTCTTCCAGTCTTAGAAGATGAGTAACAACAGGGACAACCTTCTCCGGTTCTTCGACCGGCCCACGGAGCCCTGTTTCTTGCAGAAAGGCGAGGACAGTGCTGCCTTCGAGGTGCCTGATCACTACTACGTAAGTACTTCTCTTATTTTCTTTATGGCTCACAAGGAAGGTGATGGTGATCAATTTCCTCCCGGTCCAAAACTTCTGAGATGGATGAGACGAAGATTCCCATGCAATTAGAAGTTTCCCATCGAGACGAAATAATTGACGAAATTAGGCTCTGACTATTTATGTGTCATCTAGTTATTTACTCCCTTGCTTACCATATCATCTTTCACACAGCCGATCCATCTCTATTTCGGCCTTCTTCTGCCTTTATAACCATCCAGATTCATAGGTAATACCTTCCTTAAAATATTATCTTCATTCCTACGCGTTACATGTCCATATCACTACAGACGATTACTCTTCAACCTCTCCGACACCGGCGCCACTTTCATACTTCCTCTAATGTATCCATTCTTTATTTGTCCATCCTTGTCACGTCGTTTGTCCCCTATGCTGTATATATATATCACCATCATCATCATCTCAGCCCGGAAGACGTCCATTGCTGGACATAGGCCTCCCCCAAAGATCTCCACGACGATCGGTCCTGCGCTGCTCGCATCCAATGCCTACCAGCGATCTTGACTATATCGCTGGTCCAGGCCTTCCTTTGCTATATATATATATATATATATATATATATATAAATAAAAACATAATTGTGTTTGTGTTTATATTTTCAGCCAGATAAATACAAGAGTCTGACTAATTCGTTGTCTAATCGTTTTGGGAGCGGCGATCTGCGTGCTATACCTGTAAAAAACATCGCCCTACCCGACTTGACTCTGCCTCTCGAACTGTCTTATAATGACCAGTTCTCGTTGTTCGTGGCAAAACATCGCAGGATGGCTGGGAAACTCATTGACATCTTCCTGAGTGAGTAACACACACAAGTTCCTTGCTCGTTCTTCTTGATGAGTCTGCGTTTCAAAGAGCAACACACAAGTTTCTTGCTTGTTCTTTTTGTGTCTGTCTTGTTGTTTATGAGTCTGCGTCCCGAATGATGGTAGAAAAAAAATATGGCTATTCAAAAGTGCTTGTATTGAGTTTATTAATTTAAAGATATTTATATTTCTATAATATAATATTACTAGTTGATCTCAGGACAACTCACACTCAGCGCCATCTAGTCCCAAGTTAAGCTAACTAAAGCTTGTTATGGGTAATAGATAACTGATACGTATTTTATAAATATATATTTAATATACATTTAAAATATCCACACGTATACAATGTTTGTACCGTGCGAGGAATCGAACCCACGACCATCGGAAGTAAGGCGGTCTCCTAAACCACTATACCACCGAGGCCGTAAACATTTACCTTTCTATTATGTACTTTGATATATAAATAAATAAATATATTTTTTGTTCGCAGATATGCGTGACGTGGACGACCTCATTTCTCTGTGCTCGTACTGCCAAATGAGAATTAATCCTTACATGTTCAACTATTGCCTCTCGGTAGCCATTTTGCACAGGTCAGTACAGTATCTTCTATGTCACTTTATTTCTAAAAAGAACTATTAAGTTTATTCTACGCTAGCGTGAAGTTGTTAAATTATTCTATTTACGCCATCTATTGTCGAGTAGAGACAATTCATTATTGCTATTTAACAATAGATGGCGCTGAGTAAAGGACAGTCTTTATTGCCTTTTTAGAAACGTAATAATTAATAAAAAATTGTTGTTATAAGAAGTTGAACATACTTTTTATGACTATTTTTTATCAAAATTTATAATTTCTTTTAGCTGTAAGAAGTTATACAATAAGGTAAAGTTATAACAAAAGTGATACTCATATAACTGAGGCAATGAGATATGAGGGGGGCGGGGATAATGGAATGATGCACCCGCCTGCGCTAACGGTTTACGCTGGCGGGGCACCAGTGGAGGATGATAAGATGAGCATGAGGTCAGGTCAGTTAGCCCATCGTGACCAATTCACCAAGAATTTATCACGATGGTTTCCAGGGGGAACCGCGTGGAGGTCAACCTGACATGGTACATTGCTAGCAATGGGGTTATCAATCCACATTACTAACAATCCCCTTCCCCCCGGAATCTGTTAGTAATGGACTGATGATCCCATTGCTAGCAATGTACCATTTTTTTTTTTTATGGGGGATAATGGAATGATGCACCCGCCTGCGCTAACGGTTTACGCTGGCGGGGCACCAGTGGAGGATGATAAGATGAGCATGAAGTCAGATCAGTTAGCCCATCGTGACAAATTCAGCGGGAATGTATCACGATGGTTTCCAGGGGGAACCGCGTGGAGGTCGATCTGACATGGTATTGCTATGGGATCATCAGTCCACATTACTAACAATCCCCAACCCCCCTACCATATCAGGTTGACCTCCACGCGGTGCCAATTAGAGTTGAATGAGATCTAACGTATGATTAAAATGTACACTGCAGGCAAGACACGAAGGGGCTGCAGATTCCGCCGGTGGTGGAATCATTCCCGGACAAGTTCATGGACCCGAAGGTGTTCAGGAAAGCTCGGGAGACCGCCACTGTCATGACCTCTGGTAACAGGGTATGTTGAAAGTTATATCTTTAGTTATGATAACGTCTACATCAAAATATATGTAACTCAAAGGTGACTGACATAGTGATCTATCAACGCACAGCCCAAACCACTGGACGGATCGGGCTGAAATTTGGCATGCAGGTAGATGTTATGACGTAGGTATCCGCTAAGAAAGGATTTTGATTAATTCTACCCCCAAGGGGATAAAATAGGGGGTGAAATTTTGTATGAAACTTTGTCAATTTTAAACCGATCGGGCTGAGACTTTGCATGCATAAAGTTACTATGACGTAAGCATCCTCTAAGAAAGAATTTTGATAAATTCCACCCCTGAGGGGATAAATTAACGCGAGCGCAGCCGCGAGCAAAAGCTAGTTAATATATAAAATGTATGCAAAATATATTCTGAAGTATTCTTTTAGATTACAATACTCATTTTTAAATTGTCGTGTTATCTCATATCTATACATATAAATAAAATTGGAGTGTCTATTTGTAATATTGAAATAACCGTTTTTTACTATGAAAGTAAATACTATGTACTTAATGATTCACAGATGCCAATTACCATCCCATCCAACTACACAGCATCCAACTCTGAGCCTGAGCAGCGTGTTGCCTACTTCCGCGAGGATATAGGTATCAACCTGCATCACTGGCACTGGCACCTGGTGTACCCCTTCGAAGCCGCCCGCGAGGTGGTCAAGAAAGACCGCAGGGGGGAGCTGTTCTACTACATGCATCAGCAAATTATTGCTAGGTTAGTATTCTTCTAGAAGTCTGCTTCATATAGATATTACATTTTTGTTTTAAATACCAAACTGTGTAAAATTCAAAATTTAAATCATTTATTCATGTAGGACATATTAGTCGCTTATGAACGTCAAATTTTTACACTCTAATTTTAATTTTTTCCCTACCGTCCAGTTCAGTATATAGATCCAATTGAGAAGAACTGGCTAGAAACTCAATTGAATATATTTTTTAAAATCCAGATTATTTACAATGTATATTTATATAGGTGTCTGTCTAACATTAAATGAAAATTCATGAACAACTATTGCCATGCACGCTCGTCATTCAAGTAATCGTTTAGTGAGTAATAGGCTTTGCTCAGTAAATTTGATTATTATTATTATTATTATTATTAATTATGATTATAGTATCTGCATCTAATTTTGGTATAAAAGAAATCATGAACGACAAAAAGTGGCAATATTACTTTTATTGAGTAATTGTGCAATTGTGAGTAGCTATGACGTGGTCTGGTGTTTTGAGTAGTCATGCTCACTAAAATGTCCAGACTTGTGGCGGCGTGGTGGGCCGGGTCATTGGGCTCCCTAAAATATGGTCAAGCGCAGTGATGGCTGGCTCATCCGTCATACTCGTGAACGGGTGCTGCTTGTGTGGACTGGTCTGCTCTAATCACTACGACTTATTTTCTCTTATTAATTGTTTAACCAGTTGTTGTATATTGAATGTTTTATTTTCTATTTTATTATTTCATTGAATTAGTGCTAATCGGTGGTTTGTATTCACACACTTAAACTTAAATTGTAAGTAAGAATAAATTATTTAAAAGAGCAACACACAAGTTTCTTGCTTGTTCTTCTTGTGATGAGACAGCATTCCGAATGAGCGGTAGATTAAAAAAAAAAATGTTATGACTATTCAAAAGTGCTTCAATGTAAGTTTATTTGAATAAATGATTTTCTATTCTATTCTATTCTATTAGCACTATTATTGGTATATTTGCCTCTTCATAGCGGGACATATATTACAATGTAAATATGCTTAGCAATCAAAGTATATAAAACCTAACAGTAAGTAGGTCCTTAAAGACTTTACACATAGTCATTCATTTCACCACTACATTCATTAATTCTACCACACTTTCGACCTGTTGTTTATTTTCTTGTTTCTATGCAGATATAACTTGGAGCGTCTCTGCAACGGGTTGGGTCGTGTCACCAGGTACAGCGACTTCCGCGCGCCAATCAGCGAGGGTTACTTCCCCAAGCTGGACAGCCAGGTCGCCAGCCGCTCATGGCCTCCAAGGTAATGGAATGAACCAACGAACACCAGCATCTTATAGTTTACTGTCCAATTTAGACGCAAAGGTCGTAAGTTCGAATCTAACCCACACCAAATATTTTATGTTAACTCAGAATAGAATAGAATAGAAAATTATGTATTCAAATAAACATAAATTTAAATGCTTTTGAATAGCCATGCTTATTTTTTTAATCTACCACTCATTTGGAAAGCTGTCTAATCACAAAAAGAATGAGAAGAAGCTTGCGTGTTGCTCTTTTAAATAACTGTTGTAATTTTACATTTTAAGTTGAATATGTGTGTATAAAAACTACCATTAATTCTTGAGAGTCATCATAATTGAAATTAAAAACACAATAAGATTAAATCAGTCGCAGTGATTAGAGCAGACCAGTCCCTACAAGCGCACTCGTTCACCCTTTTAACTGATGAGCCAGCCATCATTGCGCTCGACAATATTTTAGGGAGCCCAATGACCCGGCCCACCACGCCGCCACATTTTCTCTCCGATCGATCCCTCGTCCAATTCAAACGGGGACCGATGTTACGACGGCCTGACCCGAGGTTCGAACCCTTAGCGGTGCCCTCAGACTAAAGTCGTATCCGTCAGGCGGGAGTTGGCCTTCAGCCGCTCCATAAGTCCCTCTGCGGGTTTGGAGTGCCATCTGCACTCGCTCCCTATCATCCAGTGAAGCTGTAAAGGCCAGTTGCGGTCAACAGCATTAGAGTAATCTGAAAAAAAAACCGCCATATATCTGGACATTTTAGTGAGCATGACTACTCAAGACACTCGACCATGTAATATCTACTTCAAATTAACATGTGGTAGTTATAGCACCTTGGCAGATTGCCGTCGTCAGTGCCGTGACCACACAGACAAGATCAATATATTAGTTTTAAAATATTATTTCATATGTATGTTAGTCTAAGTGTATTAAGTACTAATTATGAATGACGACTTAGGCTTTGAAGCCGGCTACCGGAAGAGAAACCCCAAGTAGCGCCCGTGACTTGTGACACGGGTGTGGGTTTAAAAGGCCCTTTTAGAATGCATTAACACTCACTTTCACTGCTTGCAGCTTCCCCCCAGGCCCAATTAAGAATTAACTTTACTATCCAAAACACAGATGTCTAATTACGCAATTTTCTAAAACTATAGAGAATTCTGTATTGTTTACGCCAATAGGTTTGCGAACACAGTGATCCGTGACCTCGATCGCCCCGTGGACCAGATCAAGATCGACGTCTCCGAGCTGGAGACCTGGCGCGACAGGTTCCTGCAGGCCATAGAGACCAACACCGTTGTCATGGTAATCATCTTTAAAATTAGTCGTCAATTAGATTTTTTTATGGATGATATTGGAATGATGCCAGCGCTGGTGGTTTACGGTAGCAGGACACCTTTTTTTATAGGTGATGATGGATTTCAAATTCAAATTCAAATTCAAAAATCAAATATTCATGTAGGACATTTTAGCCGCTTATGAACGTCAAGTTTTTACATTATATTTTTTTCCCTACCGTCCAGTTCGATATATAGATCAAATTGAGAAGAACTGGCAAGAAACTCAATTGAATTACTTTTTTGTTAAAGCCATTTTATTTACAATGCAATGAAATAGTAATTCCGCCCGCGCTAACAGTTTACGCAGGCGTGGCACCAGTGGCGGATGAAAAAAGATGAGCATGAGGTGAGGTCAGTCGTCCTGGTCGTCGTCAGGTCCTGTTGACTTTGTGACGATGGTAGCCCATCGTCACAAAGACCTACCTGACAACCGGTTAACCTGACTGGCGGTTCCCCTGGAAACCATCGTGATAAATTCTTGGTGAATTTGTCACGATGTGCTAACTGACCTGACCTCATGCTCGTCTTATCATCCTCCGCTGGTGCCCCGCCAGCGTGAACCGCTAGCACAGGCGGGTGCACTATTATAATAATAATAATCTCAGGACAATTCACACAGAGCCATCTAGACCCAAGTTAAGCTAGCTAGAGCTTGTGTTATGGGTACTAGATAACTGATATATATACATAGATTTTTTTTTTGTAAATACATACACATTATACATAGAAAACACCCAGACCGATACAAACAATCATAATCATGAATACAAATGTTTGTGCCGTGCGAGGAATCGAACCCGCGACCATCGGTCGTAAAGCGGTATACTTGACCGCTAGACCACCGAGGTCGTCAATTCCATTGACATCCGTAAAAAAAAGCTAACTAGTTGATTGTGTATTTAATATTTTGACTCTAATAAATTAATACCAGTTGGTAGTTGGTATTCGCACATTTCTACTTATAAATGTATAGTTACAACAGTTATTTAGAAAAGTGACATGCGAGTTTCTTAACCGTTGCGCTTATTTTTTGACTCTCTCAGTCGGTAATTATTTAATTTTATTAGTATTTAAGATTTGTTATGATTAGATTTGATATAACGTAGTTGACATGTTTGAGAACAAAAACTCTAAAATAAATTTATTTAAAAAAAAATTGTGATGAGATAGTTTAAAATAACATAGTGTGATTAAAATAATATTGCAGCCAAACGGCCGGCAAGTGACGCTCAACGAGGAGACTGGAATCGACGAGTTGGGGAACCTGATGGAGTCTTCCATCCTCAGCCTGAACCGGGGCTACTACGGGGACCTGCACAACATGGGTCACGTCTTCATATCGTATTCACACGACCCAGACCATCGGCATCTGGTCAGTAGCTTTTTTTTCGGACTACTCTAATGCTGTTGGCCGCAGCTGGCCTTTACAGCTTCACCGGACGATAGGTGGCGAGTGCAGATGGCACTCCAAACCAAAGGAAGGACTTATGGAGCGGCTGAAGGCCAACTGCCTGACGGATACGACTTAAGTCTTAGGGCACCGCTAGGAGTTCGAACCTCGGCACAGGCCGTCGTAATTTCGATCTCCGCTAGATTTGGACGGGATACATATATCCCAAAACCCTAAATAAAAAAAATATACCGGTAAGGTTTCTATCTGTATATTTTCATTTCTTGAACACAGAACACAACTTTTGTACCTACATAGTATTCACATTACAAATTCAAATCATAAAATGCACCAACAAACCACAGACAATAAATTACCACCCGAGATATTATTCTTATTTTAACAGTCTTTAGATATTATTATTATTATTTTGACAGTCCTAAGATATTCTTATTTTGACAGTCCTAAAATATTATTCTTATTTTGACAGTCCTAAGATATTATTATTATTTTAACAGGAACAATATGGCGTGATGGGGGATTCAGCGACGGCGATGCGCGACCCTATATTCTACCGCTGGCACGCTTACATTGATGACATTTTCAACCTCTACAAGACCAAGCTCACACCGTACGGAGACAGCCAGGTTAGCCGTTAACCACCCTGCTTTACGATTTTCAGCTTTATGTATATACTTATTGCTAACAATTTTGCACAGATTTAGATACGATATTTTATACTAGCTGTTCTGTTTTATTCCACCTGTGAATTCGTTCTTATGGAATTGAAATTCCTACTACTTCTTCTAACATTGGCTATGTGAGTGAAAGTCCTGTTAAAATTAGTCCAGCTGTTTCTGAGATTAGCAAGACCAAACAGATAGATAGAAAGTGCATTATATGCATTTAGTGGAAATCTGTTAATTTGTAATTATAATTCTAACTTCATTAGCTTACGTAGTCGCGCCCCTACTAATCCTGCGTGCCATCGCGACTTTTTGTAATAATTTTAGTACCAACATAATATAGAAAACATAACATTGCAAAGTGGCGGACATTTGACTATAGAGCAAAGATAAAATTATAAATATATTTATAAATCTTACAGAGTCTCTGAAAAATAAAATCTGTGGAATATAAACTAAAATTAACAACGATCGAAAGATTGAACACAATAAATAGCTAAAAGCAAACATTCTGGATTTTGCTCGCAAAATTTGCCGCTTTTTTTCAAATTACTTTAATGCTGTTGGCCGCAGCTGGCCTTTACAGCTTCACCGGACGATAGGGAGTGCAGATGGCACTCCAAACCAAAGGATGGACTTATGGAGCGGCTGAAGACCAACTCCTGTCTGATAAGACTAATGTGAGGGCATCGTTAGGGGTTCGAACCCCGGGTGAGGATGTCGTAATTTTGATCTCCGTTTGATTTGGACAATCGCATGTGTAACTTTTCCCCGTTAAATCACGTGTCAAAGAACGTATAATGTGAATCATAGAGAGAAGGAGATTGTTTGTAATGTAGACTAATAACCTCATTGCTAAAAAAATACAAAATTGGTCAAAAGGCTGTCGCCACAAACGAAGTGGCAGATATTACTATAAATAATAAAAAAAGCCTCATTGCTAGCAATGTACCTGACCTCCACACGGTTTCTCCTGGAAACCATCATCAAGTTGTTGGTTTAACTGACCTGACCTCATGCTCATCTTATCATCCTCCACTGGAGCCCCGCCAGCGTAAACCGTTAGCGTAGGCAGGTGTGATGACCATTAAAAAAATGTGATTTATATCCGGAACTTGTGTGGTATTGCCACAGCTGGATTATCCTGGTATCCGGGTGTCGTCGATCAGCGTGGAGGGAGCGGCTGGCGCGAACAGGTTTGCGACCCAGTGGCAGCAGAGCCTCGCGGAGTTATCCCGCGGGATGGATTTCACGCCTCGCGGCAGCGTGCTGGCCAGGTTCACCCACCTGCAGCACGACGAATACACTTTTGTGTTAGTTTCATACACTTACCTAGCGTTTTTTCTCATTATAAACTGCAGTGCCCGCGGTTTCACTCATTAAATAACAATAAAAAATACAGCCTATATGTTATTCTAATGCATAAGCTATATTACTGTAAAGTTTCGTCAAAATCCGTCCAGTAGTTTTTGCGTGAAAGAGTAACAAACATCCATACTTAAAAACTTTCGCGTTCATAATATTACTGGCTTTTCCCCCGCGGCTTCGCTCGAATTGAATACATTTAAAAAAATGTTTATTTTTTTAATAAAAAGTATCCTATGTTCATTCTAATATCTCCAAGAACATGTGTACAAAATTTCATGATGATCCGTTCAGTAGTTTTAGTATGAAAGTGTAACAAACATACTTTCTACCCTAATTTAAAAGATATAATATTAGGAAGCATTACGATAACATAATAGGAGGAAGGGCATTGTTAGTATTGCAATTAATTGCTGGTAATATACCATGTCAGGTTGACCTCCACGGCCCCTGGAAACCATCATGTTTATTCTTGGAGAATTTGACAAGATGGTACCCATAACACAAGCTTTGGTTAGCTTCATTTGGGTCTGGATGGCGCTGTGTGAATTGTCCGGAGATTATTATTATTTTATAGATGATTTATATATAATATCTCCATTTTTACGGATGAGTCTAAAAGTTATGAGGGTTTTTTTTATACTCAGGACAATTCACACAGCGCCATCTAATCCCAAGCTAAGCAGAGTATTATGGGTACTAGACAACTGACATAAATACATAGATACTTTTTTTTGTAAGTAAATACATATTATACATAGAAAACACATAGACCGATTCAAACAATCATACTTATGAATACAAATGTTTGTACCGTGCGAGGAATCGAACCCGCGGTCACCGAATAGTAAAGCGGTGTGCTAAACCACTAGACCACTGAGGCTGTCAAAGATATTATTATTATTATATTACTTTGTACCTTTTTCCTCTTAATCTGTGATATATATTAGCGCTGGTCTCATATTGCTATTCCATTTAGAATCTTTATAATTGTCCAGTATTGAGGTAAACAACACGAGTGGTCAGTCAAAGATGGGTACATTCCGCGTGTTCATGGCGCCGAAGAATGATGAGCGTGGGCAGCCGCTCGCCTTCGAGGACCAGAGGCGGCTCATGATTGAACTGGACAAGTTTACTGCCGGATGTGAGTATTTATTTAAATAAATATCAAACTATTCCAGTTTACAAAATGTATATATATGTAAATAGAAAATGCAAGTACTTACAATTTGAATTTGGTCGGGTACGAGATGGGACAATTCTCTTGTCCTATATAGTTCATGGACCATAACGCCATAAATCATTCAATCATCAGATGCATATGCCATTATTATATAGTATTTAATTCTATATTTGTATTCACACACTTAAACTTAAATTGTAAGTAAGAATAAAATTATTTAAAAGAGCAACACACAAGTTTCTTGCTCGTTCTTCTTGTGATGAGACAGCTTTCCGAATGAGCGGTAGATTAAAAAAAAATGTGATGACTATTCAAAAGTGCTTCAATGTAAGTTTATTTGAATAAATGATTTTCTATTCTATTCTATTCAATTTTTTTTGAGAATTCACACAGCGCCATCTAGACGCAAGTGAAGCTAGTTCAAGCTTGTGTTATGGGTACTAGACAACTGATACAAATACATAGATTTTTTTTATTATAAATACATACATATTATACATAATATATATAAATTAATTATTGTATAATTCTTTTTCTTGTTATTTTTATTAACCGTCGCTTATGAAGGTCAAGAATTTTGTATTCATATTTTTTCCCTACCGTCCAGTTCAGTATATAGATCCAATTGAGAAGAACTGTCAAGAAACTCAATTTTTTTTTAAGTCTGTTTATACATTGTACACTTAAATAACTGTCTATGTCTAATATTAAATGAAAATCCCGTGCATGAACAACTATTGCCATGCACGCTCGTCATTCAAGTAATCGTTTAGTGAGTAATTTGACAGATGTTTTATTTAATAGTAATTCTCATATCAAACAATATTCTTTGGTATTTTATTCTCAAAAAAGACAATGGGGACTTTTTCTAAATGATGGTTAGGAACAGCAGGTGTGTCAATGTAATAAATACATAAATAATTATAATTCTAGTGAAACCTGGTAACAACACAATCCGGCAGCGCAGCATTGAGTCCTCAGTGACTATTCCCTTCGAGAGAACGTTCCGGAACCAAGCGAACAGGCCCGGAGACCCGGGCTCCGCTGACGCCGCGGAGTTCGACTTCTGCGGCTGCGGTTGGCCGCACCACATGCTCATCCCCAAGGGCACCGAGCAGGGCTACCCCGTAGTTCTCTACGTCATGGTTTCCGACTGGAGTGCCGATAGAGTGAGTAAATCACTTAAAGTTTAGTATAAATCAAAATCTGTCCATTTAGACCTTTTAAAATACGCAACTATTTTTAATGCAACTGTCAGTAATAGATAGAGCGATTCGAGAGAAACATTTATATGTATAATACATGCATATTATAGTACAGGAAAACAGAAATTCAAAGATTTGTAACACACTCGTGTGAAGCCGGGGTGAGTCGCTAGTAAAAAATAAAGTGAAATGACTGATAAGTACGTATGTTTCATTTTATTTTCACTTCCTAGTTTGTCATTTTAAAACTTTCAGAAAAGAAAGTGAAAAACATGAAACATACGCACTATGACCCACAAAAGAGTGACAACAAAAACAGCAAAATTCAATCACAGTTGCGCGCACTGTCTTTACAGCGCTAAATATTTGTACCAGTTGTCTAATACCCAAAACAGAAGCTCTACTTAGCTTGCGACTAGATGGCGTTGTGTGAAGTGTAGATATTATTAATATAATTCCTACAATAGATCGAGCAGTTTATTGTCCAACATGTTTTATTAACATAATAATTAGTACAACTGGACGAGCAGTTTCTTGTCCAACATCTTTACTTAAGATAATTCCTACAACAGATCGAGCAATTTCTTGTCCAACATGTTTAATTAACACAATTCGTACAACAGACCGAGCAGTTTCTTGTCCAACATGTTTACTTAACCTAATTTCTACAACAGACCAAGCAGTTTCTTGTCCAACATCTTTACTTAACATAATTCCTACAACAGTTCGAGCAATTTCTTGTCCAACATGTTTAATTAACACAATTCGTATAACAGACCGAGCAGTTTCTGGTCCAAGATGTTTACTTAACATAATTCGTACAACAGATCGAGCAGGACACGGTGGGGGCATGTAACGACGCGGCGTCGTACTGCGGACTGCGCGACCGCAAATACCCGGATCGGAAACACATGGGGTTCCCGTTCGACCGCCGCTCGGACGCCCGCACCCTCTCCGACTTCCTCAAGCCCAACATGGCCGTCCGGGACTGCACCGTCAAGTTCACGGACGCCACCAGGGAGGGACAGCAGCAGTGATACACACAACTCTATATGCGGTGACTTTACGCTCAAGCTTTTGTCACGTTTTGCTCTTGAAGATTCTTCATCTGACATTTGTTTATCATATTATATTATTCGTATTATATTATTTTAGATTTACAGTTATTTAATATTGGACTATTACTTTGTCTGCTTTATTTATTATTTTTATAGTTTTTTTCTTCATAGTACATCATTCTACCAATTCAGTAAGTAACATGGAAATATCTGTCAATTTGTAATAAGTTTTATTATTTATAATTAACACCTTGCCTATGTGAATTCAGTTTAAATGCACGATATATTGCGTATAGGATTTGGTCTAAATTTACTAGGGTACTAAATTTTAATAGAATCTACAAATTGTTCAAGCCACGTCGTTACACACGACACGTCCGTTCAGTTCGCAGGCTGCGCGTATAATGCCTTTTTTGTCCGAGTCACTGTTCACAGGCCGCCATCTTGTGCCCCACTACTCTCAAAAAGCCGATACTCATAACAATAATGAATAAAATTAGGCATTTTTACATTTCAATCTGTTATTTTTATAAGTAATCATGACTAGCTTTTTTATTTTTATAAGACATTTATTTTCTAGTTTATTTATTATAGTTGATTCTAATATTTTTTTCAATGTCAGAAAGAAAAATAGTTTTATGTGGCGCATACAGTCTATAAATTAAACTATATTCATATTTCTTTTTTATTCTTTTTTTATCTTTCTTACACTTACTGCTTTCGTCACCGCCATCATACTTGTGGCATGTTTTAATTTATTTTATGACTTGGCTATGTTTAAAGGACTATGTAATACAATATACTGGCATTCTGCTCATATTAAGTTATTCTTAAGAAATTAGTAATTAGTAGTTTAGTTTATATCAAATGGGTCAATTACTTATAAGTTAACTTAAATATTTTATGTACATATGTAAATATTAAATACATAAGACTGAATAAATATTAGCCTTTCGAAAAAATGTTTTTATTTCATCATCATCATCATCTGGTTCTTCCTTATTCCGTTTACTTGGGGTCGGCGTAATATAAATAATATAATAAATAAATAAATAACTCTAGACAATTCACACAGCGCCATCTAGTCCCAAGTTAAGCAGAGCTTGTATTATGAGTACTAGACGACTTAATCAAATTCAAAATCTTTATTCATGTAGGTCTATTAGACTTATGATATGTCAAATCTACCGTCAGTTCGGAATGATTTCGAGATGAGAAGAACTGACAAGAAACTCAGCGCGTATTCTTTTCAAATAAATGTTGTACATGTTTACTATAATACAGATTGATTTTTAAAATCAAAATTATGGAGTATAGAGTGACCACCAGCATATGCCATTGCAATTTTATCAAAAGCAAATAGTCTAATCAGTGCTCGTAATTCGAACTAGACAACTAATAAATACATACATTTTTTGTAAATACATACATAATATAATATAAAACACCCAGATCTTACATCAGAATCCTGCATGAATATAACACCCGCACCGTGTGAGAAATCGAACCCGCGACCATCGAAAGTAACCACTGAACCACCGAGGCCAATAAGTCAAGCTTTACCAGTATTTTAAAATTAAAATTCATTTTTTATGCACTACTACTCCTTTGTCTTCATAACGGAACCTAACAAGTTTCAATACCAGTCGCATCTATTAATATCTAAATTTAAGTTAACATAAATAAACCAAACGCGACGAAAGTCAGACGTCGAACTTGTTTACTTGTAATTACAATACGTTAACGTATAAAGTGACGCACAAGTGATTTTTCTCTTGCCAAATGAATGTAATAATCAAATAAGAATTAGTCGACTTGTTTTAAATCATTGTGGTTTTTCTATAAAGGTTTTTCCGCGATCCATTGATTGGTGTTAAGTACACGATGTCGTGGTGACAGTTCATTCTGTAACGCTATCCAGTCATGGCTACAAGGGTACGTATCTTTTTATCTTTTTTTTTCCTAATAATCCCTGGATTTCTACGAATATTTCAAGACTAAAATTAGCCAAATCGGTTGAGCCGCTCTCGAGTTTTAGCGAGACTAACGAACTGGAATTCATTTTTATATATAGATTAATAGAATTATTTATGAATGTATACATAAATATATGCATTAGAATAATATATATGTGAACGGGTTTGTAATTTTTCTATTTATAGTTTTCCATTGATATTGCAGATGTACCTTCTATTCGCTGTCTGGGTCATATACAACTACCAAATGGTGTCTGCCAGAAGCCAATTGTTCACAGATCTCGACCCAATTGCACCACCCAGGAACACACCCCCAACCCTCATCGATCTTCACGAGCCAAGTTCAAATCACTACAAAAACAATTACAATTTATTCGGACCACCAGGTTTGTTTCATAATAATCTATTTGATACGTATATGAAAGATTTCAATCATAAACTAATGAACTCTCCTAATTTTGGATCCATAGACTTGTTTAATCCGAAAGAATTAGTGAAGCAATTAAATGATCAAAAAGAATCATCAGAACAGAAACAAGACTTTAAGGAAAGACAAATTGATAACACACATAAAGATAAAGATGATGGTGTTGTAATAAAATTTGAAGATCAAGCTCAACCTGGGTTACGAAGTGATCCGTTAAAAATTAATTTGTTACCGAAATCAACTACGACTACGGAGCTATCTGTTCTTAAAACGAATAAAATAAACGAATTTCCTATATCAGAGAAACCTGAAATTTCTAACACCCTAGACGTCTCTAATAGTTTGCAAAATAAAAATGCAAATGATAATGTAGTAACAGACTCTATAATATTTCCTGATGAAATTGATGAAATACGATCGGGAATCAATAAAATATCTAAAAACGATACCAGTATGAACCAAACATTACCAATCAACGAGACAATCAGCCACAATGCTAATTATACCAAGAATAGAGAGTCAGTAATTCTTCCTGTTCAAGTAATGACATCGACGTCACCACTGAATGGTATTTTCCAGAACTCCAATGGAAATGTGCTTTTAGTTCCCACGGGAAAAATAAATAGTAATCAAATATTATCCAACGTTAATGCAAATAATCAAAACGGGTTGCAGATTCTAACCCCAGTAAATTCACAACAAGGAGCTCTGTACACGAATGCACTAGTTAATTTACCACCGAATACGCAACAAGCAACTATAATACCGCTGAATAATAATGTTAATGTTGGAAATCAAGGTTATATGATGTTGACAAATATTCCTAGTAATCAAAACATTCCAAGTTATTTATTACAACAACAAGGAGGACAGCCAAATATAATAGACGGTAGCGGTCATTCAATAAATGGTCAAGTTGGTACTAATCAATATTCAACCCAAAGGCCTATAGGACAGTTAACAAATATGTTAGTTATCCCGAATAATGAGCTAAATAAAAATATACAGGCTCCTGTACCAAATGTACAACAGAAACCTTACTATACACCGAATAATGCTGTACCAGAAAACAATAATCTTCACCAAAATACATCAACTGCAAGAAATCAACAAATTATACCAAATAATGAAAATGTTCCACATAATGCACCACAGGATAAACTACTAACGAGCGTTAATGAGCACGGGCAGAATAACGGCATTGCTAAATCTTCAAATCCTCAAAATATCGAAGTGCAGCAAAGAGACCAGATATCTACGCTTCCACCGAAACCAATCGATAATAATACATTTAATTCTAAACCTCCTGTATTCCAAAATCTTGGACAATCAGTCACTCCACATAGTCTTCCAAATAACAATCCCTTAATCGCTAATTTCATTGACAATAACACCCCTAAAACTTATGCCAGTCCTCAAACTGCCGGACAAGTCAATTCTGGAAGCAATGTACCAAATAATTTGGGCATTGTTAATCAGGGTAATACACAACCACTGCTTGTATATCTACAGCCAGGAAATCAATATAATGTCGGGAATGATCCTAACGCACAACAATACCTTCTCATAAACATGGCTAACAGTAATATCAATTCTCAAAATCTTCCACAGGGCAGTGTAATTTTGACTTCTCCAAATGGCAACACAGTAAATGCACAAGGTAATATTATACCAGTAAGTCCTGTTCTGTTAAACAATAATGTAGCTGATGGACAGAATAATTTATATACACGCGTATATATACCTAATACTCTTACAAATACCCCAAATTTCTATTTAAATAATATGCCCACTCTGAATAGCGGTTATCAACAACCTTATAACGTACTGAATTTAAATGGAGGATCTGATTTAGGAGTAAGTTTGAATAAGAGAAGAAAATAAGCAATTTACCATTAAATAACTTAGATATAATTGATGTAGAACGACAAAAAGTTTTGTAAATACCTCAAACGCCTGCTAAAAGTACATATTATAATAAATTATTTAAAGTAGACGAACTAGTTTTGAATGACACATCCTATTTTGCACCTGACCAAAATATTCGCTTCAAATTTGCATAAAATGTAAAAAGTATGGATTATAATTTATATAAAGCATCACAAGGATCCAGGATATGTATATTTACAGCACGATAAACTCGTTTATAGTCTGATGAATTTGTTTCCATCGCTCTCATCGTATTTCCGATTTTATTAAGTATTTGTAAGTATGTAATAAATGCTAATTTATAAGTAATATCGTGCAATATATATGTGCAACATATGTCAACTAATACATGATCTAAATATATTCGAATTAATAATTCAAAACTAAATATTTATGCTTTCGAGTTTACCGTATAATGTTGTCTTGTGTAGGTATGCAAATAACTTAACTTACTCAAGTATTTTATACTTGGGTCATATGCTAAGGACGGTGTTACATATGAATGTGGATGGTTATAAGAGTAGAGGAAGACCGAAAAAGAGATGGATGGACTGTGTGAAAGATGATATGGTGAGAAATGGAATGATGAATGGAAGAGAAAAACATATTACGCCGACCCCAAATAAATGGGATAAGGAAGAAGCAGATGATGATGATGATGATGATATAGAGAGAGAGAATATCTTATATACAATACTAGCTTTTGCCCGCGGCTTCGCTCGCGTTAAGATTATTATTAATTAGGTATAGTTTTTGCGGCTTTACTTTTGTTTCCTTTCTTAGGGGATACCTACGTCATAGTAGCTTTATGCATGCAAAGTCTCAGCCCGATCGGTTTAAAATTGACAAAGTTGCATACAAACTTTCATCCGCTCTTAGAGGATGCCTACGTCATAGTAGCTTTATGCATGCAAAGTCTCAGCCCGATCGGTTTAAAATTGACAAAGGAATTTATCAAAATCCTTTCTTAGCGGATGCCTACGTCATAGCTTTACATCTACCTGCACTTTGCTTGGGGGTAGAATTAATCAAATTTCAGTCATAACATCTACCTGCCAATTTTGACGCTGCCTTTATTATTACTATGTTTTTTCAAAATATAAAAATAGTAAAATAAATGGAAACTAAATACCAATTTCTAATTACAAACACTCAAGTCATTCTGTTTAAAGAAAGAAAGAAAAAATATATAATTAGTGTTTTTACAATAGACTATAAATAAAGATAAAATAGAACATATACACGCATATATAATTAAAATAAATTAAAAAAAAACAGGTTATATATATATGAATGTAGGAATGAAACGGTTCCACTCGGCGTTGTGGCATGATCTATGCAAACATGTCGTTTGTTTAAGAAAATGGATGATAACAATTTGGAAATTATAATATTGTCTCACCTTGAACTTAACAAGATCACGGATCCTTGCACAATTGTAACGTAATATTAAAGTATGTGAATAAACTTCTTATTATTATAATATTTATGAATAAATAATAAGAATTTAGAGTTAATTAAGAGTTTATTCACATATTTATAAATCTTATGTTATATTATGTATTTTATATTCTTATGAACATGTTATGTGTGTGACTATTAACAAACAAATAAACGATATATCTATCTATCTATCTATTTTAGCGCTTGGCTAAGGCCCGCGTGTTTGATTGTATTACCCCCGTAAGAAGGGAGATATAATATATATATATATATATATACATATATATATATATAAAATAATAATAATAATAATAATCTCAGGACAATTCACACAGTGCCATCTAGACCCAAGTTAAGCTAGCTACATACATACATATTACACATAGAAAACACCCAGACCGATATAAACAATCATACTCATGAATACAAATGTTTGTGCCGTGCGAGTAATCGAACCCGCGACCATCGGTCGTAAAGCGGTGTGCTAGACCGCTAGACCACCGAGGCCTTCAAAAAATATGTTTTTTTTATAGCAAATGAGCTTGCGGTAGGTGTGATGGAAATAGGGATCGAGGCAACCAGTCAGGCATCGGGCCGTAGTAGCGGACAATAGGAGGGGATGGACACCAGCTCCTCTCCTAGCGATCATGGAGGCAGGGGTGGCCCAAGTCGCCCCTAGATCGCTACTGGGCCGGGGTGACGACCGCGGGGCGGTCCCACTCCCGAAGAAGTCTCGCGCATGTCCCCGCGCGGTTTCCCCAGGAAGAAGAGGGAAGTGGTGGGTTCCGTAGGGAACCCGCAGAAATGGGACCCGCTATAGAGTGGGCCACCGCCGTTAGAGTTACGGTGGACTAAATTCGATCTCACGACTCCGGCACATGGCGTTGGATGAGGGACATCTTGGTGTTTTTAGTGAGTAGGAGTCTCACAGTATACGCTTGCCTCCCCCGGGGCGGGCGGGTCTCCAGGAGGGATTTTCTCCATGTAAAAATAAAAAGGTGTGATGGAAATCGACCATACCGTGGGGTTTTTAGTGAGTCTCAATACCATCATACCATTTTTTCGTAGGGAAATACCTTATGGGACACAGTTAATTGCATTGTTAAATAATTGCATTTAAGAATGTCCAGTAAGACAAATTCAATATTGTCTACTAAGCACTGCTGTGTCAAAACAGAGAAAAAAGTAATTCAATTGAGTTTCTTGCCAGTTCTTCTCAATTGGATCTATATACCGAACTGGACAGTAGGGATAAAAAAAATATAATGTAAAAGCTTGACGTTGATAAGCGGCTAAAATGTCCTACATGAATAAATGATTTTGAATTTGAATTTGAATTTGAATTTAACTGTGAAGTGACTTTACATTAGAATAGAATAGAATAGAATAGAAAATCATTTATTCAAATAAACTTAATTTAAGCACTTTTGAATAGTCATAACAATTTGTTTTTTATCTACCACTCGTTCGGAAAGCTGTCTCATCACAAGAAGAACGAGCAAGAAACTTGTGTGTTCTTTTAAATAATCCTTGTAAGTTTACATTTACAAGTCGAAACGTGTGAATACAAACTACCAACAAGCACTAATTTTTGGGTCAAATATAATCATGCAATAAGATTAAATCAGTCGTAGTGATAAGAGCAGACCAGTCCCTACAAGCAGCACTCGTTCACGAGTATGACGGATGAGCCAGCCATCACTGCGCTCGACCATATTTTAGGGAGCCCATTGACCCGGCCCACCACGCCGCCACATGTCTGGACATTTTAGTGAATATATATTCCACACGACCACGTCACAGCTACAAAAATTACTATATGGTAGTTACAGTATTCGCACTTTACATAAGGATGCATGCGGCAATCAATACAAAAGCCGCTACGCTATCATATATCAAGAAAGCAGTATGAAAATTAAAATTATCATAACGTTGTCCGCAAATAAACTTATTCTTGCTATATATTGCTATCATCTATAAATTCATCTATCTTATAATAGGCTTTTTTACATAACATTTGTTTAATATAAGATTTGAATTGCCTCTCTGTAAGATTTAGCGTAGACTCTGGCAGTTTATTATAGAATCTTACGCAATTACCATAAAATGAATTACTAACTTTGTGTAGACGGCATTTAGGTAAAATTAGCTTATTTTTATTGCGTAAGTTTCTACTTGTACAGTCTTTAAGTTTCTTGAAACTATCTAAGTTTTTCCTTGTATACATAATATTTTCATAAATGTACTGTGAGGCAACGGTGAGGATATTTGATTGTTTAAAGCATTGACGTAATGACTCTCTAGAACCCATACCATAAATAGAACGTATGGCTCTCTTTTGTAAAATAAATATAGTATTTATATCGGCTGCTTTACCCCATAGCAGTATGCCATATGACATAATGCTATGGAAATAACTAAAATATACAAGTTTTGCCGTCGCCACGTCTGTTAATTGCCTTATCCTTCTAATTGCATAAGCAGCAGAACTAAGTCTACTGGCTAATTTTGAAATATGGGGCCCCCATTGTAACTTCGAGTCCACTGTTATTCCTAAAAAAACTGTATCATTAACAAAATTTACTATTTCATTATTAAGCAATAGCTGCGTATTTACTTGTTTTACATTAGGCAGCGTGAATTTAATGCACTTAGTTTTGTTGGAGTTCAATAATAGATTATTACATGTGAACCAATTTAGTATAGCAGAGATAGCATAATTTACATCGTCTAATTGATTACATTGGCGACCAATTTTAAACACTAACGAAGTATCATCCGCAAATAACACTATATCTGCAACTTTCTCTACCATGTAGGGAAGGTCATTTATATAAATTAAAAAGAGAAATGGGCCTAATATTGAACCTTGAGGAACGCCCATTTTTATATTAGTTCCCTTAGACTTTACACCATCAATATCTACAGTTTGCACCCTATCCTCTAGATAAGTTTTCATTAGACTTAGGTCATTATCTCTAATACCATAATATTTGAGCTTATACAAAAGTGTTTCATGATCTACGCAATCAAACGCCTTCGACAAGTCACAAAAAACGCCGAGAGCATCCTGTTTTTTCCCATGATTCGAATATATGTGTAATTCTACACCTGCATCAGTAGTAGACTTGCCGGCAGTGAAACCATATTGCTGACTGTGAAGCAGTCCGTTATCCCTGAAGTATTTTAACATTTGGTTAAACATAATCTTTTCAAATACTTTACTTAGAACTGGCAAAATAGAAATTGGTCTATAGTTGCCTAGCTCAAATCTATCTCCAGATTTAAAGAGTGGAATTAATTTGCTAAATTTCATTAATTGAGGAAACACGCCATTATCAACACATTTATTGAAAATAGTAGCTAGATAAGGAGCAACAATATCTATGAATGAACTAACTACTTTAACTGACATGTCCCAGAGATCTTCCGTATTTTTTAAATTTAACTGTTTGAATATTTTTATGACATGAAAAGGGCTGACATGTGAAAATTTAAATGTTAAAGAGCAAGGGCTGACATTAGCCTCCAGTAATGTTTTTGCTCGAATTGGAGATGAGTCTAGAGAAGATGTAATATCA